AAATTATAGAACAACTCTTATATTTAGTTTCAAAATTAATCTTAATCTTAAAAATGTGATTATTTTATCAAAATATTAAACATTCCTTTCTTTATAATATAGTACGTTCTTTTGGGACTGAGGATAGAGAAACACAACTTCCAGTGGCACCACAGAATCAAGTATATGAATACATTTTATTCCGTGGTTCAGATATTAAAGATATTAGAGTTGTCAACAATGTCAGTTCTATTCCAAATGATCCAGCTATTGTGCAGGTAATTATAATTTATATATATATATATTTTATTTATATTATATATATATATACATATTTATTATTATTACATATATATTTCTTATTATTATAAGATTAATATTTTTTAAATTAAATTATTATAATAAATAATATTAATATTAAATAATAAAATCAATATAATTTCGTATGATTGCTTAATAATTCTAATTATTTATAGATGACGGTACAACCGTCTATGAGTCAGCAATCATACCAACCACAACCTAGTTATGCTCATCCAATGATGGGTCCAATGGGTGGACAATATGGAACACCTTATGGCATGACAATGGGCACCATGGGACCTGTAATGGGAATGCCAACTTCTAGAGATCCTCGTGGACCAATAAATAAACAGCCAAGTGAGTTGAGCTTGGGCTCTGCTGAACCCAATGCCATCTCTATCCCAAACTCACTACCGACGGCCAATGTCGACCCATTACCAAAAGACCAATCTCTGGAAGATGGTAAACTGTTTTTGCTATGAACTATCCCTTGCCAATGGCATGCTTGCTGCTTCTTCTCTGGTAATGCTTGCTAACTTTACTTGTGAATCAAAATCAAAAAATTTCCTTTATTAATTTTTAACTGTATATGATACACTTGAAAATACTTGCTTTCATTTATTTTTTTCTTTTAACTGCTTATGAATTTTTGCTTGTAATGTGAATTATATTTTTATTATGATTTATTTAATTTGCTTCTCAATTTTATATTATAAATTTAAATGAAAAATTTAATATTGAATGCTTGAGTATTCTATATGATATATTTGTATATATTTAAAAATATGTATATAGTATAGTATATACATGATTTTTATTAACAAATCTTTAATATTGCTTTAATATGATTTGCTTTCATGATTGTATTATTTATGCTTTTATATTGATATGTGCCTTTTTAATACTTCATAATATTAATTTTAAAGTTCTTTAAATAAATTTCAAATAGCATAATAAGTGATTTAATATTGACATTAATGTATGTGATTTTTTAAAATAAATGTTTAATGCTATATTGGCAATAAATATTTAAAATAATAATATTATAATAATGTAGTAATTTCAATTTGTTATGATTTGCTTATGTTATATATATTTTATATAATATATTTATGCAAATTTGTTTTTAATAGTTTTTGTATTTTATTAAAAGAATATGCATGAAATTTTTTTATATATATCGCGTTTATAATTTATAATTTTATTTTAAATATGCATTTAAAACTTCATTTTAATAGTGTTAGAAGCATTATGCACTAGCAAGTAACATAATAGCAAGAACAGTTGAAATTTCAGGTAGAAATTGTTTTTTACTTTCTTAAGCAACGTATATTTAATGTAGTTTTGTAATCATATTTTGATTTAAGTTCTAGAATTAAAAATTTCTAATACACTTTTTTAAATATTTCCTATATTATATTTTATTTTAGAATTATATTTTTTAAATATTAAGTTTTCATAGAATTATAACATGCATATTTGCTTATTTTCTTTTAATTTATTTTCATAGGTGTATTAGATCTTATTAGTGGAGGTTCACGATCAACAACTCCAACTTCATCTTTATTGACACGAAAAAGTCCAACTATGGATCAAAGTATTCAGGTGGGCCATCAACAACAGCAACAACAACAGCAGAGTGGAAATGTTGGCAAGCTTGGTGAAAAGACGAATATAAGAACTATTCAACCTGCTCGACGTGATCACGATAGGTATAATATATATTATTTTCAAAATACTTAACTAAATTTAATGTTTAAAAAGTACAATTTTTTAATTAAATATTAATGATGTTCTTATAATATATATAATATAATATAATATAATTTTATATATTATTTTCAGCCATAGTGGTAATAAAACAGGAGGTACTGTATCGCAATATAATGATGGAAAACGTGATACAATGAAACAAGATGGTCAACTTCAAGGTCAAGGTACACATGCTCAAGGTGGTCGCGGAAATCGTGGAGGATGGATGAATCGTGGAAATATGCGTGGCAGAGGAAGAGGTCGTGGTGGTTTTAGAAATCAACCCGGTAATGCTGGTGCCAAACCCAAGAATACGCTGAAATTCGATAATGATTATGATTTTGAGCAAGCTAATACTGAGTTCGAAGAATTAAGGTATATATTTTTTTTTGCAAATATATATATATATATATATATATATATATATATATATAGCATGGTTAAACCAAGTTTATTTCAAGTAAATATGAAATGACAAATGTGAATACCATGCAAAATTAATGTTATGTGTCTTTAAAGCAACATGTATTCACATTATACATGCTTTGTTTACGCAATGCATCGACATATGCATTATTTTATCACATCAAATTATATATTTAAAAAATATTTGAAAATTACAAAGTAAATTTTTATATTATGCATTTTAGATCTCAATTAGCAAAAACAAAAATTGATTCTGGTGCTGATAATGAAAAGAAGGATGATAGTGGTAATGAAACTGGAGCAGGTGAAGGTGAACCAGAAGAAGAACCAGAGATAGTTCATTATGACAAATCAAAATCGTTCTTTGATAACATCAGTTGCGAAGCAGTGGAAAGAAGTAAAGGGTAAGTAACTTGTGTTACAATAATCGTTATAAATTTTATAATTAAAATATTTTATTTAAAAAAAATCATTCTTTTATTATTATTATTATTATTATTATTATAGACGATTCCAACGTACAGACTGGAGGACAGAGCGCAAATTGAACTCTGAAACATTTGGTGTAGCGTCAACGAGACGCGGTGGTTTTCGTGGACGCGGTTATTATAATCGTGGGATGGGAGGCATGTATCGAGGTGGTGGTGCTGGTGGTTCTGGTTTCCGAGGTGGTTATAGAGGTTCCAGAGGTGGAAATCGTAAACCTGCTAATCAACAACAGCAAAATAATCCTGGCAGTCAAAATCGCACGACCAACGAACAATCTGCTACTCAATCACAGCAGAATAGTCGCGTTGTATCTTTTTGAATGAACAACGCACTACTATATATATAAGTATTCACTTTAGATTAAGATTTTTACGATACGTGCTCTGCCCTTGTGGACTGATTTGAATTCGAGTTTCAAAAAGAAAGATTGAAAGAAAGAAATTAAGAGGAAAAATAAAAAAATAAAAAATAAAAAAAAAAAAAAAAAAAAAAAACAGAAAAAGTTCTTTGAGAGAACTTTATTGTGAGTTTTTTGTATTATCACGCAGGAATATAGGAAACTAATCAGTGCTTTGCAGATCCTGCGTTTAGAATTTCTGGACAAATAAAAATGAATCTTATTGCTATAAGTAGTTAATTTTCGAAAACTCGATATTCAAAACCATCATGTCCTACAAATTAAGGAATCGTCAAATGCTTCTGAATGTAATTAAGTACAATACACGCCGGACGGTAGAAACAAACATATATTTGCAAACAAACATATATGAAAAAGCAAGTTTTAAATTTTCAGTTGAGCTTTTGTTTGTATACTATTAATTAATTCGACAAGCATGCAACTCCGATTAAGTGAAAGAGAATCTCAAAGAAATTTTTGTAACACAACGTAAGAGAATAGAACGTGAAGATGAGAGGGAAAAAAACAAGAAAAACTGACTAAATAATTTTTCGCGTTGCATGTATTATGATTTTGTGGAATCGAGAGATAAAGCAGTAATTATTCTTTTCTTTCGCGAATAAAAATCGAACAAAGAAAAATTAGAAAAACAAAAATAATAAAACATGCGTAAATCGCAAAATAGAGTAGGACAATATTATGGTTATTTGGAACAGTCAAAACTTTATTTATTTATGATGACCGTGTATGCGAATTAAGCTGAAATAATTATTTTACTCACGTATTTACCAGGGGGTTTTGATTTTCGAACAGGAACGTTAAATTGTTCCTTATATAAAGAAAAAAAAGATAAAAAAATAAAAAAAAAAAAGATTGATTTTGTATGATTCATAGAGATACGCGTGCGCACGCGAGGCCGAATCGTACATCGATTGTATTGACTATTAATTTTTGAAATATTGAACGTGGTATGCTAGTGAAAGAGAAAATGGGAGTGCGAATGCCTTCTTGTAGTTCGACTGCGTTTAATATCTTCGAGTCTCGAAGAAATCGTTTGATGTACGAGAACGTTGTGCGCCAATCGCGAGTAGCGTTGCGAGAGTAAGACTCTAAAAGCATGATAATGTCCTTAAAAATATAAGACGTAAAAAAGAAAGGCAGAATAAGTATATTATTTGCGACTGTTATTTTCTTATGGCTCGTATGGAGTCCCAAACGTATACAGATATATACATACATAACATGAGATTTAGTTGCATATAAATTGAAAACCTCCATAAGCTATCAGTAAAGTTGCAAAGTAAGGTAAAACTACAAAAAAAAAAAATATAAATCATATATGAATAAAGATAAGTAAAATAGGAAGGAATATGGGGAAAGAAGAAATATAACTTTTAAGTTTTATGCATTACTCGTGTAAAGAAATGCACGGTATATGTGGTTTTCCGATGATGAATTTTTGTTTTGTACAGCGGATATTGTGATTCCCAATGCTGAATAATACTGAAGTAATAAAATAATGTTTGTTGTACTCTTTAAGCCCACTAATTACTTCGAGAGACATTTATTCGGGTAATATTTGTCAATTATTCTTGCGTTTTTCGTACATGTGAATAAATTGCTTGGCAGAAATAATAATAATAATAATAATAATAAAAAAAAAAAAAAAAAAAAAAAGTAAAAACACTTGTAAATTGATATTTACTGAACAAAGATTTAAAAAATAAAAAAAGACTTGATCGTATAAGGAAACAAGTCATACTATTATTCATCAACAATTTAATTAATTAAGAAACTTCTTAAATATGATGGCGATTGATTTATATATAAAACATCATGTGTATACGCGTGCATTATCTGTATAAATACTTAACATTGTATCAATGACTAACAAATACCAAGTAGCTTGAACCTCTTTTCCTCAATTACTTTCAAGTGATCGAAGAAAATTCGATTTGATCATTCACTTCAACTTTCTATTTGTAATTCCTAAGCTTTATCGTACTAGGGAATTATTCAAACGAAAGGATAGAAAGTCATTGCGACTTCAACCTTTAGAACTTCTTGGAGAACGCAGATCATCATGGCCATTTATGTTCCAGCGTTATGTCAAGCGCAACTCATCAGACCTGTCAGTGTATTATCGCAAACTTCTCTTATAGAACCATCTCTTGTCCCTACTTTGGTTTCAATCACTGTAAAATTATTTTTATATGTACGTCGTAAACTACGTGGATTTGGTACATAAACTTCGTATGGAGTCCGACCATTTTCAATCACCCATATACTACCAGATTCCGCGATTCTCAAGATCGACATTAGACCTTGAGCTACCACATATGGACTATAAAGGAAAGACTTGATTAAAATTGGTTTTCTTTTTGATTTAATTTTTTTTTTTTTTTTAATAAAAATTGAAAAAAAAAGAAAAACTTACGTTTGTATTGATAGTTGTTCGAGAGTTTTTACGAAATCTGCCTTCATAACACGAGAAAGTAATTTATTTGGACTATCCACTGTAAGCGCAGTTTCTGTCAAGCCAGGACATAACGTTATTACACGAATACCAGTCTTTTCAATTTGGTAAGATTCCTAAAATAGATTCAAATTTATCTTTAAATTATTTTCTTATTATTTGACATTTATTATATATGTTTTGCAGATTGTTTCTAAACTTCAAAGAAAAAGAACCAGTATTCATGGTAGTATTATTTATAAATTATCATGAGATTTTATTTAAAATTAGAATAAAAAACGAAATATTTGAAATAATTAATATTTAGTATCTTCTTAAAACATTTAATGAAAATGATATTAATATTTTTATCTTTTTGTAGAATATAGAATACTTATTATTAATATTAAACTCAGAAAACCATATATAATTTAAAACAATAAATATTACCGCGAGAGATTGTGAGAGTCCAATCATGGCATGTTTGGTGGCTGTGTAAATTGGAAGTTGAGCAGTGCTTTTAATATCTATGTGTTGACTAATATTCACTAAAGTTCCTCCATGTCCAAGTTGATTTTTGCTTAAATATTTTATAGCCAATAATGCGGTACGAATCATTCCTCCCTAAGATATCAAATATAAGAATATTATGATTTCTCATTAAAAAAAAAAGACACATACACACACAAATAGACAATAAAACAATCTCTTTATCACTTACAATATTAACTGCTATTTCTTTTTCCCATCTTCGTTCGTCCAAAATACCAGCATTATTTATGACAATGTCAATATCATCCATAAAATTCAAAGCTTCCTCAAAAGCCGCTATAATATGTACAAAAATATTAAATTGAAACCCAGACATCAGAACAAGTTTATGATAAATTAATATTAAATAATAAATTTATTATATTATTATATTATATTATTATTAATTATTATATTATTTCTTTTCTATCAAAAATTTATTTTGTTTTTAGATCAAGCTCCAGTCAACGTCTTCGTCATTATCGATTATTTAATGACGATTTATGAGTCAAAAAATTATCAATGCGTTATCTACACATTGATTTCTACATATAATACTATATTTAACACTCACCAGTCATAAGTTCGTGATTGGAAACATCAGCATGAATGAAATGCACTTTTTTTTCTTCGCAGGATTTCTCTACACTCAGTTCTATTCGCTTACCGATTTCCTTGTCAATATCTAATATAGTTATTTTCTAAAAATTTATTCAAATTGATAAGTTGAAATTTTAGTATATTTTCGGAATTAATTTAAGAAAACACTTACATTCGCACCGTGTTTCAAAAAATGATTCATAAATGCATTTCCTAAACCCGCAGCTCCACCAGTTATGAGCACGTTTTTACCAGAAACGAGACCGTATATTGCCTCTATTTCTTTCGCTTTCTCGGATGCGGAAGATTGTCTTCTTTTATTATTCTCGTTCTCTGCAAAATTTACATGGTATTCAATATCATCTTACGTGATAAACTTGCAAAAATTCTTATATAAATTCTAATATAAATTAGAAAATATCTAAATCAAATTATATCATCACTTCAATACTATAATATTTTACATGTATTATAATTAATGTTATTTTCTAATTAACAATATTTGTTTTTATTACAGATATACTCTATATTTATGAAAATAACAATAAGTTATTTGAATAAGTTGAAAAATTCTACGTAAAACGACAGGTTATTTTTATTGAAATAAACTGAAATCATTCGATTGAACGGTTTTCTGAAAATTTTGTTTATTTCATTGTTTCTAGGAGTACGCAGAGAAACGTACCCATTTTTATTCGAAGGAAATCGCAACTGAATCGAATATACGAGATAGTGTTCACCAGAATTGGAGAGCACAAGACAGGGTCAACGTATGTCGTTCTACTGAAGTTTGATCGGTTCTCGTCGATCGTATTTATAGACACAACGAGCTGTCATGATGATTTCTACAAACGTCACAATATGTATGTATAAATGAGACATGAATTTTTATCGTTAAGAATGTCTCGTAGATAGATGATGAGAGGGGATCAATCATTTCTCTCCTCGCTTTATTTTTTTTTTTTTTTATGATGGATAATGAATCTCGAACAGTTGATAGTATATAATACATAATAGAATCTCTAATTAACCCTTGACATAGAAAGTAATTAATTCAGTTGCGGACTCGTATCGCGCGCTCCTTTGAAAAAAGTTTCAACGTTAAAGCGGCGTCTGCCCTCGCGATAAACGCAATTACATCGTATTTGAATAATGGTAGTCCGTCGATAAACTTATTCCTGATTGTATGCGCATTTTTAAATATATACAGGTGAGAAATATTAGTAAAAGTATATATCAATGAGGATTTTTGATTTAAATTTGAAGATAAAATTTAATTTGAACTTGAATTTCTTTTTTTTTTTTATATATATATCATCGTTCAATTTTTGAATATATAAATAGATAAAATGATCAAGTTCTTAATAAAACATTTTAATATTTGTAGCTTTATTAGAAATAATATTAATTTTAATAAAAATTTTTTATTGAAAAGCAAGGTTAAAATTACTACAATTAAAATGTTTCATTGATTTTACATCTTTTTTTTTCAAAAGGAAATATATTGCATATTTATTATTAAATTCAATATTTTTCTATTATATCATAATTCATAATTTTCTAATAAATTTTTCAGAATTAAAAGTAATCAATTCTTTGGGAAAATTATTTTAATATCATAATATTACGTGATATTAATTATTCAATGATTTTACGTGATTTTAATTCTAAGAATTATATATATAGTGCAACGACTTTACGAAAAAAATTCTATATTCAATAGGATTTTATTCTATTTATTTTATTTTTTAAATATTATTTATATGATTTTTATAAATGAGAATTAAAAAATGTCTAAAATTAAAAGATCTAAGTATTTTCCTTGATTCATCTTTTTTTTATCTTTGAGGTTGAAACATGGTGAGAAACATGTTAAAAAAATCTTAATATGTTAGTAGTTAATTCATTTTTTTATTAGATAGAAATAATAATTATCTTATCAATGATTTTTATTTAATTTTTATATAAGAAAATATATAATACTTATCAAAATCAGCATATTTTCTTCATTTTCTATATATTTTCCTTTCTTTTTTTTATCATCTTTTCTTCTTTTATTTTATCTTCTTTTTCGGCAATTTTCAGCTTTGCTCTTCTTATTTCTTCTTCTTATTTCCTAATTTTCTCTTTTTTCTTATTCTTTTCATCTTTATTCTTCTTTTTCTTTATTTTCTCTGCTTCTTTTTTTCTTTTCTCTTTTTCCTTTTCTTTTATCTTCTCTCTTTTCATTTTCTCTCTTTCTTTTTTCTGTTGTTCTTTTTTTTTTATGAATTCCTTTCTTTTCTTTTCTGCTTCTTTTCTTTTTTCTTCTTTCTTTGCTTCTTTTTGCTTCTTTCTTCTTTCTTTTTCTTTTTGTATCATTTTCTCTTTCATTATTTTCTCTTTTTCTTCTTTCTTCATCTCTCCTTCTATCTTGTTTTCTTCTTCTTCTTTCAGTATTTTCTCTCTTAATCTAATTTTTCACGATCCTCTTTTTATTTTTTCTGTTTTTTTTTTTTTTTGTAAACTACATCCACTATATACAATCACAAATCGTGTTGGAAAACGTAGTTTCCGCGCGTGTCGTGTGGCGTGCAGTTGCGATAAACTGTCGACGTATGCGCAGCTTATGCTTTCCGACCTGTTATCGAAAAAAAGAGCATTTAATCTATCATGAATTCATGATAAATTGAGGCGAATCCACGCGTTCTAAAAGGCACACCCTGAATCCAGTAAGAATCGGTTTTTGCACTGAATTTCATTCCGTTTGATAAGCTGGAAATAACACGAATTCAATTCTTTTTCTTTTTTTTATATTATTCTCTTTTTTTATATTATTTTCTTTTGTTTTAGTTTATATTTTCATTTTCGCTCATTTATCTTTTACTCTTTTTCTTGTCTATCTCTCTTTCTTTCTTGTCTGTTTTTTAATTTTTTTTTGTTTGTCTTTCTTTTGAATTTATTTTTCTTTCATTTCATCTTTTTTTTCCTTTTTTCACTTTTTTTCTTCTATTAAATCGTAGATGATGTACCATCTTACATCATAATATTGTATTTTTAATTTTTTATCACGATAAAAAAACACTAAAGAATGATTTTACAAATATTTGAAAATAACTTTCTTAAAATATGGACACATGTTTAATAAATTTTGTGTATTATAAAAAGATGAAAAAGAGAGATAATTATAATGATTATTCGAAATATTGTTATTTCTTATCTCTTGTTTCATACTTTATACTTGTTCTGATATAATGATGCGCTATATATGTGCATTGTTGATAATTATGGCACCATATTTAGTGTAATTTACATTTAAAATAATAATAATAATTCAACGTTCGATAAAGATTTATAAATTCAAAGAATAGAGATAATAAATCAAGACACAACAAACAATCAAAATTAACATTCACTTTTATTTATTTCAATTGAAAATATTTCGGAAAATATTTATAAATAGATAAATATAAATTATTTATTTGTTTCATTTGTTGTTTATTATTATAGGATAATGAAAAAAATGTTTTATGTCAATTTTAGATTTTAAAATAGATTTTAGAATCAAATTTCCTTTTAAAAATAATTTTCGTAAATTATTCATTACATTTTTTTATTTTTACAATAATTTCATCATTATTCTGCAATTTTATTTTTATTTTTATTTTTAATCATCTATATTTAAAAAAAATAATATAAAATTATATAAAGGAAATCCATTAGATCTAGTCTCTTCAAAAAATTTTTATTATTTAAATTTCATATCGATGACAAATTCAATTAATATCAAACTCTCATAAGCTTTTATACCAAAAAATATTTTTCAAAATTATTTTTCAATTAGTATTTATTATTCTGTAACGATAAGTGTTCATTCTTTCGAGATAAATATTATTGACTAGTGTTATACTTATTTCTTGATATCTTTGTAGATTTTAAATGGTAAAAAAATGTTATGTATGTTATTGGGTTATCGTTTATTCGACCTAACAAATTTTTTTTTTTCATCTTTCATGACCAATAATATAACAATTTTATTTCGTATCAAACGTGTAACTACGTATATATTAAATATATATATGTATACAAAGTAATCACTTTTTCAAATGAGGCTACGTCAAATCTTTTATAAATATCTTATTATTGGTTTCTTGGTTAATATCATAAATATAAATATAATTTTATTGATAATTTTATTTGCTTCGATAGATTTTACATAAAAAAATTTTTTTAATTAAAATTATAATTTTTGTGAATGATAGATTTTTTTTAGAAGATATTAGTACAAAGAATTTTAATGTGCGAACCAATAAATATTTTTTAGGGAATTGCTGTTAATAAATTATCATTTTTTATTGATAATTTATTTATTTTAATATAAATACATTATCATATTTTTCATTATCATATTAAATTATTTCTTGTTCCATATGAAGAATATTACAAAAGAGAGACAAAATTCAAATAAAAATTGGAAAACACTGCTAGTGACTTTAAATTTTTAGTGAATTTATAGTTAAGTACCTTGTACAATTGATAGATGTCGCCAGAAGTATTAGAAGAAATGAATTTAACTATTTCTTAGTTCAAATGCTTGTTCCTTTTTTTCTTTTCTTTTTTTTTTTTTTTTTTATATGATAAGATTCAAATTAAAGTTCAAATGAATCAAAGTGATATTTCGGTAATCAAGTTTATAATAGTCTTTCGTAAGATAATACTGCGGTGTTGGTAAAATATTTTTTTGCATCACGAAAAGTATATCCCATACAATGATAAATATTTAATAATCTTTTCGCGATTAAATTTTTTTGTACATTACATAGTACATTACAATTTCTTTGAAAAAATATGAAGAAATGTATTTAATTATTTAAACATTATTCGAAATTCGTGGTATGTCTTTGTATTAATCTTTAATAGAAATTTATTATAATTGAATTTATAGGAACAATTTGATATAAATCTTTATTTGATAAACAGAGAATTTTATAAAATAAATTTAACAACATATCCATACATATTTTGCATTAATCTACGCACTTTTATTTTAAATTTTTATATATCACTTACATATTTAATTTTTTGATAAAAAATTTGTGGAATTATTTCAAGATTTGAACAAATAATTATTGTATCCCATTATATTGCTAAATGCTTATGTTCTGAAGAATATCGATAGAAAAGTGGGCGTTCTTTTTGTTGAATTTTTTTCTAAATATTGATTCATTTCGAATATGTTTGCGATGTACAGAGAGAATTCGATAATTCAATATAATTACTTTGATAGATGTTTTCTTATCTATGTTTACCGGATGCGTTCTTAACTTATTAAATAGAAAAATCAAATAATTTATGAGAAATTTCACCTTCAATTATTATTAAGATAATATAAGTAAGACAAATCTCTTTATATCTTTTTTGAATAGATAAATAAATATATATGTATATTCTATATTTTATGAATATCCAAAAATTAAAAAATAATTTTTCAAATCAAAATTAAAAGTTTTGTTTTCAATTTTATTTTCTAATTATTATCAATTCAAAATATTCTTAGACATAATCAAATTTTCTTATACGAACGAATTAAGTAGAATAGCTCAAGCAGTAAGACGTACAATAATTCTCAAATCCAATAGCAGTATTCTATATTATTCTAAGTTATAGAAAAGAAGATTACAATATATGATTTGACAATCATTATATTTCTCGCTATTTAAAGAACTTTCATTCATATATGAAAGTTTACTCAGGGATATTTTTTGATAATCTTTAATTATCAATAAATAAAAAAATAATATCAAAAATATACATTATATAATATACATATATAATATATATTATGTACAAAACATATATCTTTATTTACAATATAACCGACAGTTTAATTTATTTGCAATTTAGATTCATTTTCATCCAATATGAAATCATCGTTTTTTTGTGGTAAACTATCGAATAGTAGTATTTCGTACACAGGTTTTCCATCTTCACTGATCCAAATACTTCCATTCTGGGCGCATCTCAGCACATAAACTAATCCGTGTGCGATACTAAGCATTCTAATATAAAAAAATATTTTAATTGATTATATACTATAATATTTTAATAAAAAAAATAAAAGGGTTTCTAAATTTCTTCATTTTTTGAAACACTTTTAGAGAGATAGATTCTAAATATCAAGAAAATGAAAAAGTTTAAATGCAAAAATGAAATTAAAAATTTTTGCATTAGAATATCAATAAATGGAAATTTATTCTACTTAAAATATGTGCCTAATATTTTTTTTATATTAAAATACCTTCTAAAATATTTCTGTATCACATCATCATGTGGGACGTTGTTCTCTAAATTTTTCACATCAATAATTTGAGGAAGTTCAGGGCACATGACTAATATTTTTACTCCAGTTCTTTTATAATGATATGGTTGCTGCAAAATCAAACTTATATTAAAATTATCAATATAAAAATTTCATAGAATTTGATTGCATCAAATCTTTGCAACAAATAAATATAATTATTAATTAACTGAATCAATAAAGTATTGATATAGATATATATAAAATTGAATCAGGAATAATTTAACAGGCGTCTGAGAGAAAATACATAATTATGCTTGTAAAATATTATTTAAAGTTTTATATAAAGTCTTGGAAAATTGAGAATAAAATTTTAGAAATTTGAGAATGATGTTTCTCTATGAAAAACTTACCGCAAAAGAACGACTGAAGCTAACCACAGCATGTTTTGTGGTTGAATATACTGGTAGTTGAGGTGCAGCATAGAGACCAGTCAAAGATGATATGTTTACTATAGCGCCTCCTTTGCCTCCGAGGTCCTTTTGCATTTGTTGGATTCCTAGAAGCGTTGCACGTATCACTGAAGTCTAAGCAAAATATTTTCAATTAATGAATTGCAATCATAAAGATATTTTTACAAGCATGTTCTACATTCTAAGAAAAATGAACATGTGCTTTATTTAATGTTTTTGTTATAATATTTTGGATTGCATCGTAGAAAATGTTGTATTCAAAAAATAACATTTTTGCTTACCACATTTACGTCAATAGTTTTCATGAAATCAGTTTCGTTCATTATATCAGCATTATTTACTAGAATTTCTAATCCACCAAGTGCCTTCACAGCTTTTTTAAACGTATCTATTAATAAAAAATTAGAAAAATTAGTATTTCAAATATATATAATATTAATGTTTGTATTATGTACAGAGATATAATAATATAATTATTTTATGAATAATGATATTTTACCTATTATTTATAAAAGTTTTCGTACATCTTATAAAAAGATTATTTTTACAAAAATAGATCATTATTGTACAATAAATATAATTACTTATTAAAATATAAAATATTAACTTTACAGTTAAATTTTGTAGGACTTTATTTTAATAAAGATAATCTTTAAATATGGCTTGCATAAAAATTCTTGGATTGGATTATTGTTAAATTTATAAATGGTGTCCTTTGATTAAGATATTAATTTTAAAAATAAGTGGCACCAATGTTAAATTTTGACATAGAATTTTTTTATTAATATTATAAATCCAATTATAAATTTTATTGTTTCTATAATTCTTATTTTTATTTATCTATCGTTTTTATTTCTTATCGTGGTAGGTCTTGAGTTTTTTAATTTATCTAATTTTAGATTTATAAAATTATATTTTATAAAAGATACCATCGAATTCAGAATTGTTTGCAATGTTACAATGATAGAATATAGTACGGTTGCGTCCGAATTCCTTATTTAATATATCCACTGTTTCCTTGCCTGATTCTTCGGTATCTATCATCGCTATTATCTAAAATCATTTTTCATAAATTAGCATATTCTTGTATTAAATTATTTAAATGTTTTATAAACATTTTTATTTATATGTTTTACATATGAAACATTTTATTCTAAATTCTAAATGTATTATTTTATGCAAATTGATCTATGAATTTAAAAATATTTTCTCATTTTATCAATTACTTACAGATGCTCCATTTCTCAGCAATTCTCTGCTAATAGTCAAACCTAACCCACTTGCCATTCCTGTTATGATAACTCTTTTATCTTTGATCTGCATTTTTTTTTATATCAGCTCTTTCCTTTTCTTAAAAAAAGTAGAAATCTTAATGATAAATAAACATAACAAATTTTTCGATACGTTTAATTTTTGTACACACTTCTTCTATTTGTTGTATACTTTCTCTTTTCTTTTAAAAGATACAATTACAACTTATACTTTATTAATTGTACACTTCAAATAATATAAATAACTTTTTTACAACTAAAAATATCTTTTATTTTTCCAATAGAAATGAATTGATCGATTTAATATTTGATATGTTAAATTTGGAACTTTCATGGAACAATTTCGTATAATTTTCACTATTTTGATTCCTTTACAAAAATAGAAATTAGAATTCTGGAAGAATAAAATTGTTAAAGAGAAACAAGAGTCAAAGAGTGAAACTGTTAGAATTTTAACAGTTGTTGGTCGCGATACATTATTGGAAGGTTTCTATCAAAGATGATAAGGAAGAAACTTGCTGCTTTCATGTCATGATCTTCGACCTATTTTGCGTCATGATGATTGGCGAGAATATGTTTTCCATTATCTGTGCAATTTTCATTGCAACATGTTTTGATCTGTTATTAAAAAATTTGAATTAGTGTTGTGTTAATTAACTTCTCTTTCCTTTTTTAAATAAATTAAATTAGTGAAATTATAATTTGATAGTAATTTCTCTCATTTTTGCTTCATATTAATTTAATATTTAATATTAAATCCTCTTTGTTATTCTTATTTTAACAATTTTTTTATAATTTTATATAAGTTAAAATTTAATATTTATTTTAAATTATTCTTGTTTTGTATCCTCGAGTTCGATTATATAAATAAAATATAATTGAATGCGCGTTGAAAGATTAAAAATTATCAAGCAATTTTGGCGAGAGTTTTATAAAAATAAAAGATTTAATGAAAATATAATAGGATTGATGTCTTGCAACAAAATTTTTGGATCTTGAACATTAAATGATCCTTTTCGATATTAAATTATATGCTAATATCGAAAAGAATTTTTTATTATTTCTTTATTATATCATTATCATAAATATCAATTATAAAATCGCATCATCGATCGACTTACGAAATTTTTTGAATATAATAATCAATTTCGGGATACGTATTTCAACGATTTTATTATAGTTAAAATATAAAAATAAAATATAAATAAACTATAACAGTTTAATAATAATTTTTAAGTAAAATATAATTTGATAATAAATTATTAGACAATAAATTCATTACAATTTTATTTTTTCGATTTAAAGAAAAATATATATAAATTGTTATTTTATCTTTGTTTTCTTTGTATGAGACAGTTGGTAACAAAATTTATTTTAATAAAAAAATAATAATACAAAGTGATTAACAATTAATAATTATATTTTTAATCTTTTTTTATTCTACATAAAATAATTTTTCTTTTATTATAATTATGGTTTTATAAGGAGACCTTTATAATTGAAGTTCTACTTTCTTCAATGGAGGAAATTCAACAGCATAGGGTTGTTTACCTTCTTTACAAACCCATACAGCTTCATTTTTGCCTTTCTCGATAAGTTTTACCATGGCATCTCCAACATGTTCCGGCCTAAAAAATAACATATAATGAATATGAAAAATATTAATATCATTTATATTATATTATATTTGTTCTAAAATAGTTTTATCAATCAATATTTATTTTCGTTATATTATATCTTTATCATTGTATCATATTTTATCTTATCATATCTTATATCTTTTTTTCCATAAAATTTTTTAGATTATTTTGTCTGTAAGAAATTTATTTATCTGTAAGAAAGTTTTCATAAATCTTTTAAAATCTCATCCATTCTTCCAATATAAATTATTTAAAAAAATTCTCAGGAAAAAATATAACAAGTAATTAAATAAGTTAGAAGAAGATTGTTAGAAGAAGTATATTATTATAATTAAAATACTAATATAATTCTATGTAATCTTTTTTTTTTTACACAAAAACTTTCAAATTGTTTATGTAATATTTAAAATTTCACTTACGTTTGCGGAATGTCTTTTCCTAAGCAGTTATTAAAATCATTTTGCGTAACAAAATCAAAAGATTTAGAAATAGGATTTTCAAGTAAAGTCGTAATTGTGACACCAGGGCACATTATGAGAATGCGAATTCCAGTATTATTGTAGTATCTCTGAAATGATTGAAATAAATGTATGAGTTAATAGGAAAACATTAAATTAAAATAAATATTCAAATTAAAATAATTTGATTTCTTATATTTTCGAGAGAAATCTTATATAATTGTATATCTTATATAATATTATCTTTATATAATTAACTTTTGGAATATCTAATCGATTATCAATATAATTCACTAACCTAATGATTATATTTATTGTTTTTAATTTTGCATCATTACAGAAAAATATTGGATTAATTGAATTCTTTCCTTTTCTTATTATAATCTCTACATTTAAAAAATAAGAATATAAAATATAATAAAAATAGATGGTTAATCTAATATTTCTCTTTGAAAATCCTTGCAAAATTGAAAAATCGAAATTTTTGAAAATATTTGTAAAATATTAAATATTATAACATCTAATTAATAAAATTTAGATCAATAGATAGATATTAATCAATTAAAGAAGAAAATTTCAAATCAAGTTAATTGATTAGACAATTAGTTAAACAAATATTAGAAAATTGAATGTTTTCATAAACAGATATTATTTCATTTAATATCTAAATCATGGACAAATTGTAATCAATCCATTAAATTAAAAATTTTCGATCTTATCTTTCGATTATTAATATTTCTAAAATAATTAAGATTATTTAAATATATCTACCGCCAAGCAACGACTGAATGCCAATACATAGTGTTTGCTAGCACAGTAAACGGGACTACTGTATATAATATCTAGAGCCACGATCGACGCAATATTTACTATAGTGCCACCTTTACCACCTTTGAGTTTGCTCATATGATCAAAAGCGAGCAATGATCCTTGGATTACACCACCCTAAAATTAAAAAAAAAAAAAAAATTAGGAAATAATTTCGTTAGGAGACTATATTGATATTCATCAACATTATATAAATATCAAATTTATAAAAATGATAGGTCGATTAGGCTCATTTCTTTTAAAAAGCAAATATGTATATTTAAATCAAACTTCTGTATTACGTGAAAATTTATAAAAGAAATTAAAATAATCTTTTTTGAATCTCTGTTTCTTTCTAAAAAGTACAGATATTTTACTTACGACATTTATACACATAGTTTGCTCCCATTTTTTGTCGTTGTATATACCAGCATTGTTAATAACAATATCTAAGCCATTCAAATCGCTCACAACTTTTTTGAACACCGCTACAAAAATATAATTTTTAATGAATTAAATATTCAATAAAATATATTTTTTCATCGATGATCATTTCATATTACTTTTAATCATTTTATATTACTTTTATTTATATTAAGAACTCTTGAGAATATGAAACAGCAGTTGAATATATTAATACTTTAAAATCATAATACTATGTTATTCGTAATACTATATAATTATTTTATATATTAGGTCTATTCTATTAAATGAATCTCACTTTATTACTTTCATCTTCATTGCAAAGTTAAATCGTTTATAATTCGATAAAACAAATTTTAATGTATATTTTTACATATAAATTTTTTTATTTATTTCAAAAATGAAAAATTTAAAGTAAATATATAGTATAATTTCTTTCTTGAAAAAAGAAAAAATTGAAATAATATATTTTATGAAATTAGAATTAATTAAAACATAAAATACCTTCGAATTCATTAATCTTGGTCACGTCACAAACATAGAATATCGCCTTTCCCTTTCCAAATTCTTTTTCCAAATTATTTGCCGATTGTTGACCAGGAGAAGAACTCAAATCGAGAAGAGCAACGCACTAAAAATTACACCAATAAATGGTTTTAACATTTAATAATTAGTGAAACATAATTTATTTGTAAAAAGTATATTTTCTGATATAATTTTTTTGAAAATAATTAACCTTTGCTCCATTTTCTAACAATCTTTTAGCATAGATGAAACCAAGTCCAACGGTTCCACCGGTGATCAAAGCTGTTTTGTTCTTGATATTGTCTGTCATGATCTATAAAAAAAATTTTTGTTATAGTAAAATTTTATATCTGAATAAATTTTAATTTTTATATCATTTTGTTAATCAAAATTCGTTAATCAAATTTCGTTAATCACATTTTCTTCTATTAAAATTATTATTATTATTGTGTGTTATCAAACGATCGTATAAAATCTAATCAAAATCTTTAGAAATTAACATTTTAATCTTTGAATTAGAAAAAAAAAATGATTCAAAGTTCAAAAAAAAAAAATAATAATTATTTTATCCACTCACCAAGTTTGAATTTAAAACTTATGGAGTTTTTTATGAATTTATTTCAAACAATTGATAGATGTGAACAGTGTCGTTCCTGACTAAGAAATGAATCGTCGCGTACATTAAATTAAATATATATTTATGGCAGACATCTATATCTGTACATATACATGAGTACGTATCATTGACATGTGATACAAAATAAGATTTTTTTTTTAAATAGTTTTAGCGATGGAAAAAATTTATATCTATAACATATCTATAAATATACATAATTTGCTAAAATCAAATATATCAAATAATTGATAAATAAATAAATAATAAAACAAATTATTAAAAATACAGTTTTCATATTCATATATTTTATAATTTTTTTTCTTCATCTTTTTAATGCTATGTTACATTTTATGTTTAATACATTGTTTAATACATTTCATTTATTAATACTTTTGTAATTATTTTTTTTGCAATCATTAGATATAAAAAAAAATTATCAAAATTATCAATATTATAAAATATGAATTAAATATAAACAAATTATATATTAAATATAAATTATATTTTACTTATTTTATTTATTTTGCTAAATAGGTTATATCATGATTATAAATACATTTTGTAATTTTTTGAAAATTCAGCTTGAGTTTAATAATATATTAGATCGATCATCAATATTTTTTCAATATTTTTAAAAATATTAAATTAATAAAGGATTGAAAGATTGAAGGAAAAATTAATATTTCAATCCTTTTGAGACTAATAGAATAATAGATTTTCAAAGATTATATATTGTTATATATAATAATTATAATACAATCTTTGTAAAATTATAATATATATATAAAACTATTATTATATTCTAATATTATATTACATTTATGTATAACTATATCACATGTAAATGTTATTTATCATATTTATAATTTTCGTTATATAATGAATACCATTATTTTTAAAATTACTAAATTATTTATGCAAAGAAACTAATTATATTTATCTTTATTTATGTAAATAAAATTTTACATGTGCATATATTCCAATAGAATGATTCAATTATCGATAAATATATATATTAAATATATATATTAATAATAATATACTAATGTTAAATATAAATCACATTACATATTATTATTATATAAATTATATTTTTTAATTAAATATATTAATTAATTGAATTAATTAAATATAATTTTACTTTTTATACTTAGTTCAATATAATTGTAATGATGTTCAATATAATTGCAAGGATGAAGAAATTTTAGAAAACGATGAAGAAAAGTTCAGAATAATAAAATGTTAAGAGAAAGATGACAAAAATGAATTCAATAAGAAATAACAAAAATAATGAGTAAAATATTTATTTTTTCAAATTTTAATAAAGGAATAAAATATAAAATATAAAATATACTGATAACATCGTATAATGTGAATGTTTTTGATATGATCTCTAAAAATAAATTAATTTTTATTGATAAATGTTATCAATTTAATAATTAATATAATGTATTGTAAATTATTATAATACAATACACATATTAAATAGTAATTGTTATTTAATATTTTTTGACATTTAATATTACATTTAATATTTAATATGTAATTGTTATTGTTATTGTTAATAATTATTGTATTGTATTATATATTAATATATTTATATGTTTAATTTTATATATTAGAAAAATTTTCAAAACATAATTATATATATTTTATATATTTTTCATATTCATTTTCATTTTCATTGTATATCATGTGATTTTTATATTATTTATTTTGCAACATCAGCAGTATAATTATCTTATCATAAATTAAAAATTCAATTGAAATTTCTAATCGAAAACAATTTGTTATTTTGAAGCATTTGATTGACGTTCTGAAAATATTTTTTTTAAATTCGATAAAATAAAGCAATTCAATCGATTTATTTTATTTTATTATGATAGAATAAATTTTCAGTGATATAGAAATAAAATATTGAATATAAAATATTTTCAATCGTAAAAATCTCAATACTCTTTTGAGAAGATTCTGCATTAATTATCAATTCAGGTATAATTTTCATTAAAAAAGAATAGTTTATTATGAATTTTTAATAAACATTAAATAACCATTTAATATTAATTCGAATCTTTCACAAATAATAAATTAATAAATGTATAATATGTAAGTTATAAATTTATATCAATTAAATTAATAACAAATTGATAATTGTTTAGACCAAATTTATCTCTGGTTTCATTTATATAGAGACTTTTAAAGTGGTATAACTAGGAAATTCGACTGCATAAGGAGGTTGATTATTTTCGATAACGAATATTGCGCCATTCGCCCCCTGCTCGATTAATTGGATAATGGCACTTGCTACGTGTTCCGGCCTGTTAACAAATATTATTATATTTAAATAAAATTAGTAATTTATTAACATTTATGAATTATTAATTGATATATATTATTAGAAATTTATTGCGAACATTAATTCAATATGCAATTTTTAATATTAATATCTTTGAATTATAATATTTTTTATTTTTTTTTTTTTACATTTCAATTATTTTGAAAATATGATTATATATATAATATAATTATCATATTTTAAATGAAATTGTAATTAATAATTAACATAAATACATTTTAATATTTTTTTTTTTAAATTTCGTTTTTTAATTCTAATGGAAAAATTTATTTACGGTTGTTTTTGCATAGTGACCATCGCCATAGCCGCTGTTTCTTCGTCGAGAAGATCCATAGCATGTTCTTTGGTGGACATGAATCTGGCAGCCATAGCTGTGGTTGTCAATCCAGGACATATCGTCAACATGCGGATGCCAGTTTTTTCATAATAATGCTTTGGTTTTTTTTTAAAAAAAAAAACTATTTTAATATTTCAAGGTAAAAATTTTAAATTTATATAAAGTACTTTAAAAATAGATAGCTAAAATTTAATGTCATGTTTTTTTTTCTCTGAAAAATATTTATATCTTAAAAAAATATTTATTTTTTTTTATTTTTTTCAAGATTAAATTTTAATTATTTAATTCTGAAAATATTTTTCCATTCTATTAAGAAAATATCTAAAATTTTAGTGTCTACAGAAATTTGTATTTTTTAAATATTTTTTCTTAATTTTTATATAATTATATTTCTAAGATAAATTGGATATATTAAATTCTTATTGTCTTAATTTAAAACTCAAAATTTTAATTTTTCTCAAGAATTGTTTTCATACAAAGTTTATATATACGCGAATTTTCAAAAATTTATTTTGATACGAATAGATAGAATTTTCATTCCATTTTTTACCTTCAATGATTGAGTGAATCCAACAATGGCGTACTGTGTTCCGCCATAAATAGGCGCTATAGGGATACCTTCGAGACCAGCTACAGAAGACATGTTCACGATAATACCACCATTGCCACCCTTATATTTTCCCATTGTGTGCAACCCTAAGATAGTTCCATAAACGATACCTTTCTACCAATAGAAAACAATTGGTACATTTTTCACATTTTTTTGAATAAATAATATAATAATTTTGAATAATGTAAAGTACAATAATGATAGGTTTACTATTCTAAAATATTAATGTGTAATGAGTCATATTATTACAAATTCATAAATTGACAGTTTTTTGATTTTTCTCGGTAAAAATAAAGAATTCGTAATTTTTTTAAGATTTACAATAATTTTTAATTGATGTATAAAAATTTATAATGATTTATAAAAACATGCAATTCTTTAATATTATTTATTTTCATTTTTGTTTTAACTATTTCGATACAGGTATCTTATATTTATATTTTATTATAATATTATTATAATATTATGATAAAGAAATATGGGATTACTTACGTAGTTAATATCGACCATAATTTCCCAATCTGCATCATCCATAATACCCGCGATATTTACAAGAATGTTTAAAGTTTCATACGTGTCAATAACCTTCTTGAACGATTCTGTATACAATATTTTTATTATACGTATCATTATAGTTGATATTTAATTAAATAATATTAAATTAATTAATTAATTAATTAATTAAATTATTTGAAATAATAAAATAAAAATAGTTATTAAAGCGTTAGGAGATAAATACAAGTTGATATTTGATTAGTACAATTTTCAAACATTAGATATAATACTTAAAAAAATATTAATTATATAATATTATTATTATATTTTGAAAAAACATAAAATAAACATTTTTAAATATTTGTTATGTAACAAACAAATATTCCATATATAATACACAATATACAGTATGCAATAAAATATTGTAATATATATATATATATATTTTTATTATATAGCATATAGCAATATGTATTTTAACATAAACATTATATTAAACAAAAAAGATAAGAAAATTTGTTGATCAATCTATATATATAAAATATAATATATAAATTATATAAAGTAAAAATTAAACAAGAATAATATTTATGATATATGAACATGAGATAATAGTGATATGAAATAATATGACAAATGAAATATTACTATCATTTGAGTAAGATGAACAAGAAAAACAAATTAGAAGGATATTAACTTATAAATAATTTATCATAATTTATAAATAATTTATTTAATCAAACTAAATTATTTTATGCTGCTGTAATATGATGCAAACAAATAGATCGTTGTATAAATAAAAAATAATAATACATACTAAAAGAAAAAAAGAAAAAAAAGAAAATTGATCCAAAGTAGGAATGAAATAAAGTATCATTAATAAAAAATAATTTTTAATGGCTTAAACTGTTTAAAACATTATGTTATAGATCCAAGAAGATATCAAAATTTAATTTTTATAAAAAATTTTTATTTTAATTATAATTTAGCTATTTTAGTTTAGCTTACATTAATAGAAATTAAAATATTTGTCAAAAAATCTAGTATATTTAGAATATTAAAACAATAGAAAAATAAAAAAGATTTATTACAATAATTTAAGTCAAAACTTTCAGCCAATATTATCTATTTGCATTTATCTTAAATAAATAAATCTTTTTTCTTCTCTCTTTAATTGATACAAAAAGATCAATAGATCAAGAAAACATTATACATAACGCGATCTTTTCATATTTTCATTTATTTATTTAATAATCTTTAATTACCTTGAAATTGCTCGTTCTTTGATACATCACAGGCAATAAAAATGGCTCTGTCCTTTCCAAATTCGTTGTTTAAATCTGCAGCTGCGCTCTCACCACCAGAATCGCTTAAATCCAACAGAGCCACCGCCTGAATCACATAAATGAAAGAAGAAGATAGAGATATATATATAATAATTGGATAGCAAAGGATACATTGAGAAAAATATTTATTCAACTATACAATATTTTTCTATCACAACAAATAATCATAAATGCTTATATTTCATCCAACTTTGAGATGAACATAAAATATTTTTTCTTATTACAAAGAATTATCACATGAAATTCGTAATGTTAGATTTGAAATGAATATGAATATACGAATCCAGCACAAGATCAAAATTTAATATTCAAATTAATATTCCAAATTTGTACCTTCGCCCCATTTCGAAGTAGCTTACGAGCGGTGCAGAAGCCGATTCCGTTCGCTCCACCGGTTACGATCGCGATCTTACCCTCGATGCTCATTATCGATCGCAGAAAAAGAAATGGACGGCGGCCCTGTTTTTATTTCTTTCAGCTGGATAACAACGGTGGTTTTCGTGGCGTGCACGCGCGAAGCCTCGCCTTGCGAATATATCCCACGACCGAGGGCCTCCACGGCGACACGGAGGCGAAGGTGAAACACGAGAAATCGGGAATCAATCGTACGAGATTGAATGTCTCCCGAGGATAATCCGATGGGATAACGTGACCGCCGTAAACAGGATCGAATTTACGCCGATCGATGGAAAGTTGGGCGCGAGGTGGCACGGTATCGTGGTATTGATGTTTATATGGATTTATTGAGTTACCGTGCAACGTTTCAGATCTCTGCTGTCCACATGGCGATAGACAATAATTTTATATGGTTGGAACAAAGATGAAAGAACGGAGGAGGATGGAGGCGAGAGGAATGGAATTGCAAAGGAAACGGGTTGATCGTTGATTTAATTAACACGTTAGTTGTGTCGGGTATATTGTAGAAATGATAATTTTTTGTATCGTGACTCGAAATATTATACTCATCATCTTTTCGTTCTTTTTACGATTTAGATGAACATTTTTAAAATAGGGAGTATTTTAAATGGATTAACAATTTATATATAATAATTCGTATTTGAATATCTATACAGATTGCAAAAATTAAATGTAAAATTAAAAAAAAAAATGTAAAATATCATTTAAAATTTTAGTTATAAAATGTTTAGTTTATGAAACTAAATTTAGTTTAAACTAAATTTAGTTAGTTAGTTTATGAAACTAATTATAAAAATTTCATAAAACTAGTTTATGAAATCTTTATAATTAATATTGCTATTTATAACATAAATATCTAATAAGTTACTTTATTATATACATTTAATTACATTTAAGAATTTAATAGTCATGCTTACTATGTATCTATTAAACGATTTCATCATTTCTACTATTTTTACTATGATAGTTTTATGATAATTGATATTTTAATATATACATATTATCGCGATTATTTGTTTACTATTTATGAAAATATATAACTAATCGGTGGAAATTACAAAAAATTAATCTTTTATCTAAAAGATTGGAAATAAATCCGAAATGGGATAGAAATAAAAAATGATAGAATGTTTAGAAATAAAAAAAAAAATGTTGAAATTATTTCATTATATTCAGAAAATAGTTATCTTTATTATACAAAAAAATTTTATAAAATTTATGTAAAAATTATGCTAAAATTAATTTGAAATTTTTAAATTGATATGATCAATCAAATTTGATGCAAATTTGAAAGTTTAAAAGATAATTGATCTATTTTTATATTTTGTGATAAAGATATATTATAATTTGTGATAAAGATTGAAAAACCAGCGCCATCTTTAAAATGCCTTAAATGAAACCAATAGTAAAAGAAAAATACGAACTGATTATTAGCGCCATCTCTTAAGTATTTTTAAAAACATATTTGGTATTAAAGATGATTATTTATTCTTTCTTTTATCCTTTTCTAATTATTTACTTTCCTTATTTTTATTTCTTTAAGTATTCCAGAGATGGCGCTAGTTGTTCAATTTTTATTTATTTTTCTTATATTTATTTCTTTAAGCATTCCAGAGATGGCGCTAGTTGTTCAATTTTTATTTATTTTCCTTATATTTATTTCTTTAAGTATTCCAGAGATGGCGCTAGTTGTACAATTTTTACTTATTTTCATTATATTTATTTCTTTAAGCATTCTAGAGATGGCGCTACTTGTTCAATTTTTATTTATTTTCATTATATTTATTTCTTTAAGTATTCCAGAGATGGCGCTAGTTGTACAATTTTTATTTATTTTTCTTATATTTATTTCTTTAGGCATTCCAGAGATGGCGCTAGTTGTTCAATTTTTATCGAATTTCTGTCCTTTACTCACTATTTGCTCTCTTTGTCTCTATTTAATTTTGATACACAACAATAGATAAATATAATATAAACTGAATAATATGACATTTAACATTTAACACATTTAAATAATATAATATATCTCTTTTTACGTTAAAAAATTAATATTTCATTAAATTTCTAAATAATTGAATATATATTATTTATTCCTTTTTATTTCTATTGAAGTATTTACAATTATAAACATATACATGTATGATTATAGAATGTTGACAAAAAATATTTTTATACATACATTTATATATAAAAATATTTATATATAAAACGTTATAATATATCATTATAATTAACAAGACATGTTTGATTTCTGCAATTGATTTGATAAATTAACAAATTACATAATTCTACGTTGTAAAAAAAAGGATGATTCATTTCTTTTCTTTCTTTTTCTTTTTTTTTTTATCGTTTTTTTCTTTCTTTATGCACATTTCTTCTTTCGTAGGTGTACATACTTTAGCTTTGGCACAGGGTGGATCAATCTTCACAGTACAATACTAAAATTGTTATAAAAATTCTTTTATATTATTTTCATAATTTTTTATATTTCCTTAAATAAGAAAAATACTAGTCAATATTTTAAATTTGATTAAAAATTCTTTTTTGTTGATTAAAATCATGATAATAATATTATATGATATATTTAAAACAAATATTTTGGCAATATATGTATATGTATAAAATGTTTTTTAAAAAAACTAACACTTTATACTTTATAAGATCTAAATCTATTAATTTTCTAATCTATTAATTTTACTTGTGTTTCGTAGACTTTGGGGTCAACTTGTTCGCCTTCCTTCTCCGGAAAATGAAGTAATTGAGGAATTTGATTGACGCTGATTGCAGGTTCGACCAACCACGCACTTCCGTTCTTTGCCCACGCTAATAAATGATTTAAAGCTGTTCCTATGTGATATTTCCTGCACACAGATACAAGTTAAGTTAATTTAATTTTCTTTCCTATTTTAAAGGTTAAGAATCATAAAATAAGTTAAATTTTTTCAAATTGACAGAATTTTTTATTTGATTATTTAATTAATGAATTTATCATATAAATCAGCTATTTTTTCATTTTTCTTTCTCTGTTTAAACAATCATCAATAATATATTGTATATAATTATTTTTACATTTTCATTATACTTTACAATTTTTGTAAAGTATAATGATAAACATTTATTAAAAATGTTAAAAGTTTAACAATTAAATTTGCATAAATTGGATATATTATATAAAAGCTGGGTGTTTGTATAATTTTGTGACAACCATATTATTAATGCCAGTTAGTTACTTTTTCTTAAATTTATTATGTGCATAACTTATAAATATAACTTAAAAATTAAATTATAAGTTAATAAAGAATGACTTACGAATGCGGAATACAAGTTGGTAATTCACACATAGTTTTGTTTGGAAAAGGATCTGGAAAAATTGGCAATCCTATGTCGCGAAAGTGTTTATTCGTTGGACAAAGTGCCACTAAACGAACTCCAGTTGTTTCTACATTATACTTTTTCTTTATCAACGAATAAATTTTTATTATTTAATATTTAACGTTCAAATAATAATTTAATTTATACGATTAATTTAAATAATATACCGCAAAATATCGGGTGACTTCTATAGCAGGTTCTTTGTTGCAATAAATTGGGAATGGATCTTGAGGCCATCCCAAGAAACCGAAAATACTCGCACAGTTTATTATTATTCCGCCAGAACCACCATTATCCTTCCCTAAAAGTTCCAAGCCTATTCGAATCGTTTTGTGTACAGTGTTCTGTAAATTTTTATAATTAAATTATTTTATCTTTATGAAATTTGATGACAGTTTCAGCAACTAATTATCCAGAAAAAATTACATTAACATTATGATTTAATAATAATATATCATATAATTTTTTTTTATAAATAACGAATTATATTATATTATAAAAAATTTAAATATATAATATATATTAATATATAATTTGTAATTAATTATCTCATTTATTACTTCTTCGATCTTCGGATTCGATGTCTTTTCTTTATCAATATTATTAAAAATAATATGAATCACTTTGAGTTTGCAAAGAGCATCGTGTAAACTACCTAAAAATTCAATACATCAAATAGAAGCAATTTTATTATGTTTTAAATATATGAAATGAAAAACCAATAGAAAAAAAAATTTTTTTTTATTAATTTAGTACAAATCTCTATTTATTCGAACATGTTAATGTTATAAAATAATTTTATGATATTTTCTGATATTAATAATACTATTATGATAATAGTATATGTATATTCTTCGTTATCCTCTTTTTAAAGAATGTTTTTTAAAGAATTTATGATTTCAATAGATTTATTAAATTTAAATTTAATCTTTTCTTTTTTCGAGATAACAAAATAATAAAATGGAAGTGTGTTCAAATTTCGAAAATCAAATTTTATTATTTCTTTTTCTTTTAAAATTTAAAAGATTTCATCTCGAAATTTGAATACGATCATTAACTTGTTCGTATAAATCAATTTCTATTATTCTATTAACTCACTGTGACTATGACAATCACTCATTATATTATAATGAGCGTAGTATGAGCGATTTTTTCCATGAAAACTGCACAGTCTTTCGACTGCCATTTTCCCTTCTTTAGGATCATGGTCAGCTATTACAACAGTCTATATCGATCGAAAGATTATATCAATTTCTTGTTTTATATTATTAATAGAGTGCCAATATATTCGTGAGATATCTTTTTTAAAATATATATCAAAATAAAAGTTGATGTATAAAAATCTTATTTATTATTTATTGAATTATAAGCAATTTGCATTGAATGAAAAAACGGATAATTCTATCTCTGTCACATTGTTGATTTACTCTATCTTCATCTTACTTCATGTAACGCAAATTTAAATTATTTATAACTTAATAAATAAGCCAAAATTTTTATATATCAACTTTTACGTTTGGTTAGCACTCTAGAATTGATTTTTCAAAAGTGTGAATATATTAACACTCTATACATGAAACTCGTAATATTTCTTCTTCATTTATTAAATTAATTCAACTATTTAATTCATTTAAATGAATTAAATTTAATTCATTTAATTGTATTCAGTAATTTAAATTCATTCATAATTTTACCATATAATTATTTTATGTAAATAATTGTAATCAAATCATTCTAAAATAAGATAATTTATATTAACAGAAAACACCAACACGTGCTCCTTTGAGCAAGAGATGATCAGCCGCTGCAAAACCAAAGCCATCAGATCCTCCAAGCACTATAGCGTTTTTACACATAGGCTCGAGAATTGGTTTGGACAACTCAGCACTAAAATTGAAATTTAAATGAAAAAAAAATTATACAAAAGTAAGTGATACAAGTTTCGTTTATTTTTTGATCATAGTTTTAAGACGTTATAATTTTAGATAAAAAATATTTTATTCTCAATAAATAATAAATAATAAATTTAAATTGAAAATATTTTAAAAATTATACTATTATATTTTTAAAGATAATTTGAAAATGATGTTTTTATAAAAAAATATCACTTTTTTTTTAATTTAATTAATTTTAAAAATTAATATTATCTATTTAACATTAAACATTAATAATATTTTTTATCAAAAGAATAATTTATCTTTTTAATATAGAAAATATAGATTCACCAGTTGCCAGGTATTATTATCTTCGGACCATCATCACCTTTGCTTTTTTTCTTTTTCTGACGCGCCACACTAACATGAAATTGACACCGTTTGCATTTCCACAAGCTACTGAAATGACAGAACAGAACAAAACTTTTATGATTAAATGGAAAACTAATATAGAATTAAATACGTTCTTCGGAAAATAAAAAAGGATGCAACGAAAATATCATATTACCTTGGATTTTTATTGAGGAGTTTGAAGGAAAATGAGGTTAAATATCGTGATAGCATGTTGTTTGAAAATATAATATTTCCTTGTGATTAATACTATGAATTTTTGAATATAAAGTAATAAAGCATGTACATAAGAAAGAAAAAAAGTAATAGTAAACGAAAATGAACGGCAAATGCAACATTAAATGAATAAACAGGGAATTTAGAAATAATTTTGACCGAAAGTTGGATAGTTACATTTTGCATTTGTCAACGTCACGTGTTGACATTCGTTTTTCTCTCAATTCATAAAGAATATATTCGCTTGTTCATAACATTACATGCGAATTGGTTGATTTTCAATAATAATATGCTAATATTAATAAAACATGTAAATTAATAATTAAAAGCAATATTAATCCCTCTTTTACGATTATAGATTCAGATCACATTTATTAAAAAAAAAAAAAAATATATTAACATTAAAAATAAAAATCAGAGATTAAATTTATTTTAATTTCAAAATCATTTTTTATATTAATATTATATTATATTAATATATTAATATTATAACGATAATAAAATAAAAAAACATTAAATATTTAGCAAGACATTTTAATAAATAATTCAGTATCCTAATTAAAAAGATCCTTCACATGGAATGAATGAAAATGTCAAAAGAATAATATTAATTAAGGTAATACACTTTTCTTAATTTTTTTTTCTCAATTTTTTGTAAAAAAAGCTATGCATTTTATTGGCTAGGCTTGCAACATACATTCCGAGCAAATCATAACAAAACCAACAATTTCCACTAGCTATCGACCGTGCTGTCGATTAAGATTACGCAATGTTATATTCGAATGTGCGATTGTTCTTCGATTCGGAAGTTCTTTAAATCCTCTCTGTTTAGATCGTAACATTATTCGAGGAACGATTATAATCCTTCGAAAAATCTATCAACTATTACACTTAATTCACATTAAAACTAGAGACCTTTTATTTGTATCTAAATATTTCATATTGCAAAACATCGAAATTAATATAGTATGATGAAAATGGATAAATATACATATTTTTATTTAAATAAAGGCTAATAATATTCATTTAAAAATTTGCCATTTTGACTAGTTTGTTAACTCTATGAGTCTAATTATAATTTTATTAAAAGGTATCAATACCTAAGTTTATGATGTATATTTTCATCATATTATTTTAATTGTAATAAATATTAATTTACATATAATATATTGATTCATAGTTCCTATAATTCTTAATTTCTGCTCCAAAAAAGAAACAGATTTGAGAGATTAAAGAACATTCGATCGAAGAATGGACGATTAAAATGTATAATAATTATAACTCGTGCATCGAAGAGTTTTAGGCCTCGATTTCGCATATCTAAATCTATGTTTTTTTCATTTTTCTCCCATTGGTCATTCTCAAGTTTAAAAGTTCGTATAAAAATTACGATTATTACTTGTGACCTTGTGAACAAACTGTTTCGATCTTCAACTTCGATAATTCTTTTGATTTTCTTTCTTCAATCATTTTTCCTTCCTTTTTCGTTGTATATTCGATTTGAAAATGAAAGAATGTCCTTTTTTTCAGTGTCTTTACGAACGATCACGAAACAATTTGTGCATTTATATTTTGATTCATGGATGTTTCATTTGTATACGTCGAACGATGAACGAAGTCATCATAATGAATTGGATCAATTCGTTCTCGAGTAAAATACTCGTTCTCTTATGATTATCGATTTGTTTCTGTAAATATGTAGAAAACTTTTATCTTATGGATGGAATGCATTTTTTTCCAGTTTTTTTTTTTTTTTGATATATTTTCGGAACAATTAAGATATTTATTTGTTTTATTAACGGACTGAATGTCGTTTCCAAATATCTTACGCATTGATTGTATTATAGTTAAAAAAGAGTATAGAAAATTTACAAAAGTGTTTAGAGATTTAATTTTGAAATTGATATCTAATCAATATTCATTACTAATATATATGTATATATATATATATCCAAATGTATGATTGCTTGCATCCATATTGCGAATTGGACAGTCTAAGTCGAGGTAAATCTTTTTATAGATTTTAATAATCGTATAAAAAAAATCTTACGTTTTAAATCGCGTTACAAATTGTTGGATCGCTATAGAGGATTAATTATTTGCTTGGAATCTTATCATTTTTTTTTTTTTTTTTTTTTTTGTCTTATTACAACACTACAAGCCTAATTGAAGAATGCTCATACATTTTGAACGAACGCTTTCGTTAACCGAGAACTTTTTGAATTTTTCCAGAGATCAAAACCTTGTTCGATTTTCATTGAAATCCTTTCATAGATTAAATTACGTATTTTGTACACAATTTTAAACTTCATTTTTTCTATTAATGATTGATTAATAATCGTCAATAGAATACAACTGATTGATCAATTTTACAATTTTATTCGAACAAAGTTCAATCCGAAACATTCGGTGAAATTGAAAGTAAAATATCTAACGTACTAATTTTACAAATAAAAATAAAATCGTGTATTAATAAAAAAAAATTAAAAACAGGAGACCACTTTATTTCGAAGGTTCAGAAAATGCGTGAAAAATTCACCATTTTCTTCCTTATCGCTACCATTGTACAAGATCTATCTAAGCCTTCGATTTTACAATTATTTAAAAAAGATCCCTTACAAATCTGTTCCGTGCAAAATCACTTGTTATTAACAAATGTAAAGTGTAAGTGTAAGTGTCATGGAAATATTTTACACGAAGTGTCGATTCTTTCAATCCTGAAATCGAGAACGATTTTCGATTTTTTTACGATATTCCAATTATCCCAAACGATTTACGATTTTATCTCCATTGATTTTTCAACTCACCAATTTCCATCGAGTATTTTCTCTCCCTCTCTCTCTTTCACTCATTACTTAATCATATATAAGCGCCACTTATCGAGAACTCCCCTTTCGAGATCGTTTCAACCACTCGATGGAAAATAGGAACGATCGCTCCGTTAAATCCATTAATTAAATTATCATGTTATAAGAACGAGCGCTATTCTTTCTAAATCTAACACGAACGGATAACAACATACAAAGAAACGCTTTCACCATACAAACTGCCTTTCGTAATCTTTGGTAATGCGATTTATGTTCCCTTACATCTATATTCGCGTTCTTGATCCCGCATAGTTTTGCACGCCTCAGATACCGATCCATCCCTTCCTTCAAGGGCATGTTCGATGCAATTTCAAGATAAGATTTTGAAAATGATTGGAATTTTTCGAAATTCGATTAAGAAGATCGAGAAGGAGAGAGAGCGTGATCTTTCAGATTTTTATATTAATAATCTCGTTACGGCGTCGTGATTATAGTACGGTTATTCGTATTGAAGCGAGAAGAGGATCCACGCGAATGATGGCAGTTAAGGTTTTTAGATCTTTGGGAATGTGATTTCGTGAGGTGGTTGGCTTTTTTCAACCAGCCAAACGCTTCCACTTTTGTCTGTATTCAGGATTTGGATCAACGCCTTGGCCACGTGTTCCGCTCTGGAAAATTGTGAAAATGAATAATTGAAATATTCGATTGGAATATTAATATTAAATAAGAAACTTCTGTTAGAATATTTATCTCTAACACTGTGATGAAGAGTTTGAAGTTAAATAATTTTTATTTAGAGAAAAAATTTGAATATTAGAAAAGTAAAATAATGGAGATAATTATATTATTAATGAAATAGTTAATAATTTAATATATTATGCATTTAAATATACTAATAGTTGCCATAATGATAATGGAATAGTATAATTAATAATAAGTGCGAATATAAAAATTCAATTGAAGCTTATTTATTAAGTAATAAACAATTTAATTTTGTGTTAAATAAAGCGAAAAGAGATAAGATATTAAATCTTAGTAAAATTCAATTGTTTATAATTTAATAAATAAATTTTAACTGAAATTTTTATATATCAACTTTTGCATTTGCTTTTCTCGAATCCTCCATTGAAGGTGTTCCACAAATACAATTTACACCCTGTATGTATATTTTAATATTATATAAATATAACAATAGTGAATAAAATAATTTAATATCATTATGTATGAGCCTAAGAGAGTGAATATTATATCGATCGTATATATATTTATAGTCTGCAACCTCTTTATGCATAATAAATATAAACATTTAATGACACGCGATATTATCATATTTAATAATAAATAATTCAATAATTAAAATTTTGAGAAACAAGTATGAAAATTATTAAACTTCTAATCATTATCATAAAAATATTTGTTTATTTCATAAAACAACAATAATAAATTGCATATATATAGACGTATAATAAAATATTCATTTATTAAAATAATAAAAATCATATAAAAGCTTGTAATTATTATTTAAAAATTAATTTCTTACCTTTGAGGAACAGAACTAGCTGTGTCACGAAGCCAGGCGTCTACATACCGAGGTGAGAGCAACTGTTTACTGACATCTCCTAATATTTTGCTATCTGTCGCACTTGGGCACAATGCCATCACCTTTACACCGGTTAAATCCACGTGATATTGGTGCTACGATAACAATATATATATATATGATTCTATATTTAATTCTATAATTATTATTTATATAAATAACAGTCTCGAAAAATGTTTTTCAAAATTAAATTGAAGAAATGTGCATTATTAAAATTAATTAAAAAATAAAAGATGAATTAAGAAATTATCATGAAAATTATATTATGAAATACATAAGTAAATTTATAATATAATTTCTTACATTTTTTTAATACACTATTAATCTTTCTATTTATTCATTTTTTTCTTTAATATTTATAAATGAAAATGTGTGAAAGAAAATTTTATTTTAAAAAATTGATTTACCCCAAACGCTCTGGTGAAGTGGACGATTGCCGCCTTGGTGGCAGAATAAATTGGAACACTGGTGTAAGGGTTGATGCTGATGCTGCTTCCAATATTAACCACTATTCCACCCTGGCCACCCCTATCCGTTCCCATAAATCGCTGAGCGAGCATAGTTCCACGAATCACGCCATTCTGCAATAATTTCAACAAAGACCTCGTGCAGATAAAACAGAAAATTAAAAGAAAAAGTAGTAGTAAAACGGTGAAGTCATAAGGGTGTTGGATATAAATACTCACAACGTTGATGTCGACTTCTAATTCCCAAAACCGATCGTTCATGATACCAGCGTTATTAACAACGATATCGATGTGGCCAAATGTCTCAAACGTCGTTTGAAACGATTCTACGAATTAGATTATTCGTATTATTAGAGATTTAATAAAAAAATTTAAAATTAAATTATAATAAAATTTATAATTTTTGTTATGCAGATACACTATATAATATTATAAATAGAAGTAGATAAAAGGAGAGAGAATGAAGTAAAATGAAATTTTAATATGCAATATTAGATTTGTTACAAAAGAAAGTCATTATCATTTAAAAATAAAGATGTTATATTTATATTTGAAATATTTCTAAATTTTGTGCAAGAAAATTCATAATTATATATAACAATGTATTTTATTATTCATATTTATATTAATATTAAATCAGTATTTTTACCCTCGAATTGCGCATAGTCTGTGACATCACATTGACAAAAGATTACACGATCTTTTCCGTACTCCGTGGACAATGTTTCCGCTAATTTTTCACCATCTTCTGCATTTATATCGCATATAGAAACCTATTTAAAAAAATAATTGTAAAATAATTAATATTCAATCGACCATTAAACGATAGAAACGGATAGAAATCAAAATTTGATAAAATATCGTAATAAATATCTCAAATAATTTCTTCAATTTTTTTTCTAACATTACAAAAATACAAATTTACTCGATGTCTCGATACAATGATTTGTGTATGCGTTTATGTACGATAAACGAGTAGTTATTAAAATAAAATTGTTATTCCGTGGAAGTCGGTCAGAAAGCAAGATAAAACTTCTTCTTCTCGGATGGGAAGGAAATCTAAATATAAGCGAGATATTTTTGAGCAAGAGAGTCTTGGAATATTCATGGAACGATATACATACTAAGTCAAGGTTATATCCTTAAGGAGATTTTGCGAAATGCATATAAGTAAACGCCTCTTGTGGCTCTCCTTAGTGTTCTATTAATATCGGCTTTTTATAGGTACTACGTACCCATGATGGGGTAAACCCATATCAACGTCACTTTCTTTAATGAAAATAGCACTATAAAGATTTTATTGCCTCTCATATTCCTATAAATGAATATCGATGCGTTATGAAAAGTAGCATGTTTCATTTTTTTTGCTAGAAGATCAATCTATTTATTCTGACTACGAAGAACAGAACATTTCGATTTTGATCTCGAAAGTAGTATATTTTCATTCATGACCACGAAGAATAAATAGCTTCTTCGAAATGAAAGATTGCACATTGTGCTGGGAAAAAAAGAACATATTTCATGGATTGCCTAGGATTTTGTAGCAAAAATAAAAAATAAAAAATAAAAATTTTTTTAATAAAATAAACGAAACTCAATGAATTTAACTGATAATCATTATAAAATTGAATATATTCTTCCTGTATAAGATTTTTAAATATTTTTTTAAATAATAATTGAATTTTTAATGTTGATATTTAGGAATATATCATTGCAAAATTTTTATTTCAAAATTGTTTTCACTTAAATCATATTTCACGCTAATTGAATTCATTAACGATATTTTATGATTAAACAGAAGTTAAGAAAATATTCCTTTTGCAAGAGTTTTAAATTGTTCTGTGAATTGAAGATTTTCCTTTTTCTTTTTCACTTACCATCGCGCCTTCATTCAATAATTCTATGGCACATGATTTACCAATACCGGAAGCGGCACCCGTCACCAAGGCAACTCGTCCTTTTATGTCCATCTTCTTCAGTCTCTTGTCAATTATCCGTCTGTAAATGCAAAAATATGATATCGTATTATCATCATATTTATTGTATAAAAACAAATTCATTATTTAAAGTTTATTTAAAAGTTACTAAAATTTAGAATTTTAAGAATTTTATTAAAGTTTTAAGTTATTAACTATTATTATTTTAGGTTATTAACTATTTAAAGTTATTAAAATTTAGAAATATTCAGAAAATATTTATTGAATTTGAAAACAAGTTTATTTTATTTTTTTTATTTATTTGAAATATTAATGCGTGAAACAATATTAATTTTATGCTTCATAAATCCATTTTATTTCATCTTTTTTGTTTATTTGATTATTCATTTATATTTTTTTTATATAAAAATATATATAATTTTATCATAAAATTCTGAAAAAGTTTTTTTGTAAAAGCTTTTTGCAAATGGAACAATATTAAACGAGAATTTTCACTATTTCACTGTTTTTGGTAAATTGATAATAATTTTTTTACTAATTATTAAAATAATTTTTATTATAATATAATACATAATAATTATGTTTTTTATTAATTATTTATTTACATTTAATTCATATCAATTATTCGATTTTTACATCAAACAAAACAAAAAAAATAAATCGTTAGAAAATAAATTTTTAATATCGAATCAATTAAATGAAATTTTTTTCCAAATTTTCTTCTCCTCAAAAATTGATTTAAATAGAATCACTTCGACAGCTCGATATTATTTCGAATTTGTGTTTGGAAACAGTGCGCGGTGCCGCGGCGTATAAACGACTTTCGATTTGTTGTGACTCGACGCTCGACGGTCGTATAGGTGAAATCGAATTACGTCGTTATAATCATTTTGTTCTCGACTTCTCGAGCGATAGGATGCTCGAAAATTAAGGCGTGTGACTTACTGAATCCGTTTCTCGTTGTGCTGTGTCTATAAAAAATACGTGTCATTAACGAATAGGCGTATCGTATCGTTAAGAAGGTATATATTTGCATATTCAAGTGTTTAAGTTAGTTAGAATAGTTTATTTATTATATTATATTATTATATTAACAATGTAAACAATTTGGATTAATTACAATTATTAGGATTAAAATATAATTCGTTTGTAGTGTGAATGAATCGATTGAGAATTAAAAAATTGGAAATTTTTATACACAAATATGAAATACTTTAATATAAGGAAAATTATTTAAAATAAAGAATAGAGATATATAATAATATAATATAGTATAGTATAGTAATAATAGTATAATAGATTGAAGTAAATTTTATTGTCTTTACGAGATGAATTTATAATAGATAATCATTGGTTTTAATGATTCTTTTACAAATTTTAAATTTATTACAAAATTTGTTCTTTCTTTGTGAAATATAGATTTTATCTTTGTTTAATTTACATAATGGAAATACGTTTCGTTGATCATAGATTTAGTGAGGCTACGTTATGACTGTGAAACACGAAAATTCATCTTTTACGGACTGTAAAAGAACATAAAAAAAATAGCATCCATTTTTCATTGTTTTATAGCATTAATTAGAGAAAAATACTGGTTATAAGAATAAATAATATCACGTAATTTTCTATATATGCATAAATCTTGATATTTTTCTAATTTTCTGATAAAATATACATTGAAAATATCCTCATGCAACCATTTTCTTTCTGTGTCCAGAATTTTTAAATAGGGAAGAGTCGTCTAGTATCGACCAGTTCTGACTACACTTCTTTTTTCACTTCTCTCTTCAGATATTAACATTTTTTTTATAGCTACTCTCCCTTGTATAATTTTCTTATTTTTAAGTTTATAATAATTTTTAGATGTTTAATATTTTTATTCGTAATATTTTATATATTTAAAAATTAATTTTATGAAATATATTTATTTACAAAATATAATATAGAAAATTACTGATTTATTAAAATAAGATTAGTGTATAGGATTGTTTATAAAAAATTATATACAATAGAAATTGCATTACGAAAGTTATTCGATCGATAGGGACAACATAAAAATGTTATCAAATATCTACAAACAACATAAATATCGAATAAAATTTCCTCACGAAAAATTCAAGAGCTTAGCTACCTATGTCAAATAAAATATTCATCACGTCCCATAGAGTTTCAATTCTAGAGTTCAACAAAATTATTTGTTATCACATTCGATCATCTAAGATAAAATAATATACAGCGAATACAAAGTAAAACAAAAATTTCATTTTAATAAGAATTATTTAAATCAGAATTTATTTTCATTATCAGAAGCAGGACGTGTTACGATTTATTTTTAGAAAATTAGTTTTATAACTAAAAAGATAATAACATGATTCATTTTTTTCCAAATCTATTTTCAAATATACTTTTTCTCGTGAATTTTTGAAAAATTAAACGCGACAAATCTGTTCTTTTTTTTATTCTATAAAGATAAATTCCATTCATCAAAACGCGCATCGAAATAATATTTAATATCACTTTTATCCTGCAAAACCATCAAACGATTGCAACATAATAATTTTATCCAATTAATTATCTTCGCACGAAACTTTCATCCCTCCAATCCACCGACGAAAAGGAAAAGATTCGCGTAAAAAGAAATGAAAAAGAAACCTCAAGAGGAAGAGACAAAATACACAAACACACGGAAGATACCATCGATTCGTCGAAAACAGAGAACAGCGTCGAGGAATTTCACGCGTGCAGAGTGGAGGATTTGAAACGCCACCCCCAATGCCGTCTGAATCTCACCCTCACTCGCGAAACAGCATCACGCGGCTTCGTTTAATATTGCATTCACCGTGACACCGGTGTGTGTCTGGCAGCCATAGATAAACCGGCGAACACGTTTCGCCTGGTGAGCATCAGAAAGGGCCGATCTAAAAAATTCACGACGCCTCGATCGCTCGATATCAGGCACGAGGAACGCTGAAGAAGTGGTTCTGGCTGACACGCATACTTCTCTACTTTCACCTCCTCGAAAAATGCTCGACTGTCGTTAAGTCTCAATGGGTTTTCCACCATATCATTTTTTTTGTTTTTTTACTCTGAGAAAATCGAGCATTTCTTTGGAAAAGAATCGAAAAAAAGACGCAAAGAAGCCAGACTGAGGCCATCGAAAGTAGCTTTGAATATTCTTCGATTATTCGAGGATATTGTGACTGTGCAATTTCATTGGTCGAAGGGAGAGACGTCTATTGGGTTTGGGTTTCATGGGGTTGAATGGTGGACGTGAGAAGAGTTTGAAGTAGTTTCGATGTTTTCTCGGTTTGTATTTAACCCTTGTTCGAAAAAATTTGAATTGTCGAGGTGAGGATTGATTCTTGATTATCGTTGTTGATATTTCTTGGAGATGTTCTTGATTAATTTGGAGATTCTTTGAAAATTAATTATGATTTTTAATAATTAAAAAAATACATGTAATAAATGTAATTATTATATTCAATCCGTTGAAAAAGCATTGTTTCAGATTTAGGAGAGTTAAATAAAGAATTAGTTGGAAAATAGAAAAAGTTTATAAATTATTTTCGCGATGATAAGAACTAGAAAAAAGTTTGTTTAATTACATTTTATAGAATATTAAACATAATTTATAGAATATTAAACATAAAAATTTTGATAAACATTCCATTCGAAAGATTAACTTTTTTTTTCTACAATATGCAGTAAAGCATGAAAGATAAGATAAAGTAACAGAGAAGAGATACAAATACATTCACTTATGAAAGTATTCGTATCTACATATTGTAGAGAAAGGCCATTTTGTAAACGTAGTAATATTGGAGCATATAAATTATTAGTATTTATTAATATTTAAAAAAATTTCTAGATAATATACAGGAGAAATTAAAATTATCATTACAATGAAATTTAATTTTTTATGAATGGTTTTATCTATGAAACAGATAATACTCCGATTTTTAACTTTCAACAAACTTTTAACTTTTCAAATCAAAAGTTTGAAAGGTTTCGAAAGAATTATATGGAAGAAAAAAAATAGAATTAACCAAGATAACACGTCTTAATTTTTCTGAAACAATGCTTTTCCGTTTCGTCACGAAACAACGTGATAACGAAATAATGTTCACGCAATTCGTTCTCTCTCTAAACACACGGTGATAAAGCTTTTAAAACTTTTACAGAAAACACACTTTCCTGAAAATTTTTACTTCATTTTTCACCACTAATTTGTCCCCAGATCTATCTACTCATCCTCTTGAGTTTTTGTATACAATGTCCATGCATAATACATAGCTTTGCCAATCTTGAATTTTTAATTCATTTAAAAATTGTATTATCCTTTAACTCAACATTTATGAATTTGGAAGAATAAGTAATGCAATAAATTATTGCATTATTCGATGGTAGAAGAAATTTTTTTTAAATAAAGAAAAAAGAAGAAGAATATTTTGAAAAAGAGAGAGGAAATCCAATAACGATACGAATTTATACGTTCTTCAGCCTTAAAATTATTGCGTCCTCTTATATTTTCTGTACAAGAAGAGCAAGAAAAAAGAAAAAGATTTACCACCATCAAAAACAAATCGAAATCAATGATATAATTCACTTCAACAAAGATCATTCTTCTTCTCCCTTTAAAATTCTTAATATCCTTCAATTTTTTCTACGCAAGAAGAACAAAAAAGAAATCCTGCACTTATTCATTTACAAATAACCAAAGAAAAACTACTTCACTTCAAGAGATCCTTCTTCAAAATTCATCCCTTCTTTCATCCAGTATAACTTCATTCATTCCCTTCCAATATAACTTTCTTCGCGAGAAAGCAAGCAACGATAACAACAACAAATTACACCTACCCAACAACACCACCCAAAAATAAAAAGAAAAAAAGAAAATAAAAAGATATCCTTAAACAAAACTTTTTCTCATAAAACTGGTGCGTGATTTCTCTCGCGTCTCTTAAACCCTCCTAAATACAATTCCTCCCCCTCGTAAGCAAGTAAGAAAGCCAGAGAACAAAGAAAATAACCATTCCTACACACAATGCTCCACTGTCGTACCTTGCACTTGGAATCCTTGTTCCCTCGGCGAGTCAGCCGTCCCGCAACAGGCAGACCGCGTCGAAAGCGAAACGACCGGTCGAACTACGGCGACGGGGGTGCGTGTCGAGGGTGTTTGTGAGAGTGCGCGCGCGCGTTCTCCTCTCTCTGAACCCGACAAGGTGTGGTTGACGGCCGCGAACGCACTGGCTCGCGCTGCTTCGCCGCCTTTCACTGCCTCCCCGTCAACGCACACACCCCACATCGCCCCGATATTGATTGGCGGCGGTCGCGTGCCACGTGACTTTTACGTAGGCCACGACCACGCACGTACTCACGCCTGTCTTCGTTTTACTATATGCTATATGCGTGCTATATCGTGGTCGTGGATGCGTGGGTGCGCGCGCGCGTGTGTGTGTGTATGTATGTGCGGGACGATACGATTTCGCGGGTAACGATGAGCGCGCGCCCTCGCCCTCGCAAGCCCTTAACCTTCGACCGTGGCTTTTTGTTTTCGAGGCCACGATGCTGGCCCGATACGCTTTCGATCGGCAACGACCCCGCCCTGTCGCGCCACCAAATCCACCAGATCCGGGGGATGCTCTTTTTCTATTTTTTCTCTTTGGCTTTCGTTTCGGTAGTTGATTAAGCTTGGAGGGTGCAGCGGGTGTGTTTAGGCTTTGTGCTTTCGAGTGTTTTGGTTGGAGGGGACACGTATCGGTCGGTGTTTGGAAATTTTCGAGGGGAGGTGGTCGATGCTTTAGGTTTTTTTTTTTAAGGAGATTGATTTTTGGAAAGGGGGGATTGATGTTGGAAAGGATGGAAAATTATTTTTTTGGTATACGAGGGATGATTTGATGATTCGAGGATTTGGAAAATGATGCTATTTTAGAGATTTTTTGTCTTTTGATCATAAGATATTAAAGCTTATTGCAACATTTTTCTAACGATGCATCGAGAAATCGGTGTGAATTCGTAACGTTACTTTACTCGTCTTCTTGGGGGTGTAGTAATTGTGGTGAAGTGCTTTGAAATTACTATACGAGGATGTGTGTAATATACTGTTTTATATTCGTATTCTACGATTCTCGTTTAGGGTGCGCTGCATGTGATAGCAGTAAGGGGTTGATTAAGCGTTTGGAGTTGTATTTGGTGTTTTCATAGGGGGATTTTTGTTTCAGGGATGCAACGATGTTGGAAAAAATTACATCGTTAAAGACATATTGGTTCGTTGTATGAATATGATTTAAATATTTTATTTTTTATTCATTTATTTTTTCTTTATTTTCTTTCGTGTTATATATAATTTTAATTTTTCTTATGTTCTAAATATTTTATAATTTAAATATTTAATTTTTTATATAGTATAATCGATCTTATTATGAAATAATGCATTTTTTGTTGGAGAGTTAGCCTTATCATTCTTGTATCACAAGCGACATTATCAATCGAGAATAAAATGAGATAACAGCGCTACTGGGATCAAAGGAATTATAATTAACTGTAACTAAATATAATTTTAATATAAAAACACAGATTACAGATATAAAATAGATCTCCGATGATTTTCATTATTCAATGCATATTTGTGTCGCGTAATTCGAGAACTTGTCATTATTCTTGTGTCGCATGCGATATTATCGATTCAGAATGGAATGAGACATCATTTATCTAAAGAATAAATAACATTACAATGTATGCTTCTCAAATCATTCAATTTTTATGTGAAACATTTCTTAATATTATCAAAAATAATATATATCTTTAGAATTAACTTCAAAAATCTACGATATAATAAATATAAAATAATACAACTAGAAGAAAATACATATAATATCCATATAAAAATACATAAATGAAACGTAAATACATACAATATAAAAACGTACAATTTAAATTATATATGAAACGTATACATATTCCTACGATATGTGAAAAATTACACGCAAAGTGTAAATCATTAAATAAATAATTCGAACATGTTCGTTCCTTTGAAACTCGAAGCTTCCATATTTGAAACTCCGAAGCACAATTGAAATTGTCCTCGAATCGACGCCACGACTCGATCTCGATCGCGTTCACCATTCAGTTGAAATTCACGGCCTTCCTCTGTCATGGCCGCGACTCTCCGGTGTGCCGGGGCTCGCATCGCTAACCATAACGAATACACAGCGGAGGACGAAGAAGAGGAACGTATCGCGGAACGCGGTGGAAAGGTCGGGGCACATGGTGGCCAGCGACGCGGGTATCGCGTGGCTCGTCCGCGAGGCAATGGACGGCCGCGGAAGGATCAAGCTTAGGAAGCTTTCACGCAGCCGTATGTCGCGGGCCGCCGTTTCCGCTACCAAGCTGAAGCAGTGCGTCAGAAAACAGCCGGCTAAAATAAGGAAATGCATGTGCCTGCCATCCAATTACGCCCTCGTTGAATTCCCCTTGGTCTGGTCCGAGCTTAGGTCTGTAGGATCTCCCTCTTCATCACTGACCCTCTCCTATTACACTCTTTCGTTCGTGGATAGGATGTTTTAATCGAGTTACGCGAAAGCTAGAATGGATCGGCTTTGTCGAAGATATAATCGATCGATTTGAGACGATAAATTTTACAGTTTTTGGGAGGGACGTTAAGAATTTTTCAAGGTGTAGTAGTGTTGAGCAACGCCGTTGAGATTGATCGTTTGATTAATTGAGAATCAACATAGCCTCCACACTGAGGCTAATTAATAATAATACTTTGAAACTAAAATTAAACATTTCTCAAATACTCGAATTGATCAATTTGATGGTTTAAATTATGTCAAATTTAATTTAAATTCAAATTGATCGAATCGAATGTATGATAAAGACAAAAGAGAGAATAAAATAAATTTAATAAATTTAAAGAAATCGTACGAATTAATAAAATAATACTCGTATTTGTAATAATACGTACGTTCAATTTCAATTTCTTTCATTTCTTCTCTTAATATATTATATATATATTATATATAATATTATATATATTATATAGTTCTCTTAATATATTATATATATATATAATATATATATTTCTCTAATATATTATAATATTAATATTTTAGAGCAAACCAACAACTGTGCGATGGTGCAATAAGGTGTGCCACAGGCCACGTTTTCCCGGTGCATCGCGCTATTTTATCCGCGGTCAGCCCATATTTCAAGGCTCTCTTCACCAACAGCCTGAAAGGCGGGAAGACGGAAACCACGGAGGTCGCGATTGATTCGGTCCCCGGGAAAATTTTCAGCCTGATCCTCGATTATGCTTACACTGGCACATGCAACGTGAACGCCGACAATGTCGAACAACTTTTACCCCTCGCCGATCAATTCGAGGTCCTGGGTGTCGTTCAGCTCTGCTGCCAGTTTCTTTTGCAGGAGCTTCGCCCGGAAAATTGCTTAGGTAATAAACCATTTTAATTAAATTTCTAATTTTTATCTCGCAAGAAAGAAGCATAATAAGAAATTACATTTTATGAATCTTGGAGACGAGCAATTATCGTATTAAAATAAGATATAATATCTTCTTTTGAGAGATGCGCATAAAATTGGAAAGTTAAGTAAAATTTAAGTTTCAATGAAAAAAATCTTTATCCTTTTGTAGTATTTATTTTATTTTTAGAAAAACAACTATTCGTATAATGAAAATTAATTTATATACATATATACATATAACAACAAATAAATTTATCTCCGAAAATAATAATTTCCAAGAATTTTTAACTATTTTTATGCAATTAAAAATTTTTATTAGCGAAGTTTTTACCAACAAATATCCTTTTAAAATCATCAACTTTATTTTTTTCTATATTATTTCATTATTACATTCCTTATAAAAAATATTCGCTTTAAATATTTTAATATGAATCTTTTTTACTACATTTCACGGTAATTTACAGAAATTTTTATCGGTTTTTTATTTAGGAATCTTCAAATTCGCTCGTCACTATTTCTGCCGCGACCTAGAAGAGAAGGGCCGGAAATACATTCGCCATCATTTTAAGCGGATACTGCAAGAGAGCCCGGAATTCAAAGAGCTGACGAGCAAGGAACTTGAGGCGATTCTACGTGACGACGAGTTGAACGTTAAAAACGAAGAAATAGTTTTCGAGGCCGTTAAAACCTGGCTCGAGCATAACGTCGATGAAAGAAGGCCTTATTTACCCAGGCTCTTGAAATGTGTGCGCTACGGTTTGATGAGCTACAACTTCTTCACGAACAATGTTCTCACGTGGAAGATTATCGAGGAGGATGAAGTGAGTCTTTCTTACGATCGATTATTTACATACTATAAATAAAATTAGAATCATAAGATTTTTATATAATTTTATTAATTTTACTACACTCTACTCTTAAAAAGTTACTTACATTTATCATAAAATTGAAAAAATATATATAACTAAAATAAGTGTAATATATCCACAAAGGGATGATTTGTCAAGTCGAAATAAAAATTAAAATGAATAATAATAATAAAAACAAATCATTTTATATAATTATATTAAGTTATAAATAAAAAATTGGAATTTTCATATAAATACAAACTCAAGAAATAGAGAAAATTATGCCATTCAAATCATTTTTCGTTTCATTCCAATATCTCAATTAGTTATTGAAATATAAGGATTCAAAGTATATAATGTTTAGAACACGATAAAGAAGTTTTGAATGGGCCCGTGATCTATATTTTTTCCATGAAATGTGTACGTTCTTCCAAAAATAGTAAAACTGCTTACTCGCTTCTATCATTGACCAGCCTCACTCGTCTAGAGCTTGGAATTGGTCAGTGACGAAGTGCGAGTGAGAGATCCGAGTCAACGACAAGGAAGGAGATAATAAACGATTAAAAATTATCTTTTTCTTTACACGACGATATCTCGGAAACTGGAAATTGTATCGAGATAAATGAAAAAGCATTTTAAAGGGAAAGATTCATTGCTTCTAATGATCTTTTATTTATCGATTAAAAGTCACTATCTTCGGAGTTATAGCGACTTAAAGTTTTCCGAATTTTAGTAAGATTTAAGCAAGTTTTAAAGTAAATTACGTGATATATATGGTTGCAATAAGAAATACAGTTAATGATATATGGAGAAAAAGAAGATTACGATATCAAAGACTGCGATTTTAAAATAATTGGTTCCCTTTGGTCGAGTTACATTAACTGATGTAATTTTCATTTTATTTTAGCTTGAAGAATCATCCCTTAAATTTTTGGATATTTATTGAATATTCTTAATGTTTTTAAGTTTTTAAATGTATATACACAAAATTTTTTTTTTAAATTTATCCTAAGATATTTATTAATATTTTTCTACGTTTAAATTATTTTTTTATTTCTATTTTTTTATTTTTATTTTTTTTATTATGTTATTATCATATACATATCAAAAAACAAAATATTTTTTCTTTAAATTAAATTATTAATTTATCAAACAACAAATCAATTACAGCAATTAATATCACGATTAATGAATTGTAAAATTTGTTTTCTTGTTTCGAAGTCATGCCAGCAAGTACTAGCTCCCGCAAACCAATACCTAAAAGAGCAGGAAGCGAAACAAGGGAGCGGCGAAATCGATTTGAACAATCCCCTGGCTAAACCTCGTATCCCTTACGAGATCCTGTTCGCGATCGGTGGCTGGAGTGCCGGTTCCCCGACGAATTTTGTGGAAACCTACGACACGAGGTGCTCGATACCTTCCTCAAACCGCAAACACGGTTTCCGCTAATAGAAACAGTAGAATTCCATTTATTAGAATTAAATTCTATTTAATTTTAATTAAATTCATCTTGACGAATAATATTCAAAATAAATTATAATATTTGATGATTTTGATACTTCCAATATTATATATTAATAGTTTCTAATCAATAGATCGCGATTCATAAGAAGAACAGTAAAGTATCTTTTAAATCACTGCTGTCATTTTTAATTAATGACTTTTAGCATTTAATATTCTTCTTAATAATGTAGCTAATCATTCATGATAGAAATTACGTTTTATTTTTTTTAAATTTAATAAAATTATTTTATATATCTTATATATTTCATCTTACGAAAATTCAAATAAGACTTTTCTATCTTATTGATTCTTTGTATTCTTTCCTGATGAATTCAAACGGATGGAGTTCTACCGTTCTATCACACAGTTAACAATTAAAAGATAAATTGATTTTTTTTCTCATTTTCTCAATCGATCGCCGCGATGTTGATTTCTCGCGTCGAATAATCGTGATCGGTTGATAGAGATTCGCACAGGTAATGTGTGTAATGTGAACTCCAGAGCTGACAGATGGTTTCTATCAGTGAGCACGGACGCAACACCGAGGGCCTACCACGGCCTGTGCACGTTGAACAATTTGATCTACATGATCGGCGGGTTCGACGGCAACCAGCACTTCAACACGGTCAGATGCTTTGATCCAGTGACGAGGGAGTGGCGTGAACGGGCGTGCATGTATCACGCGAGGTGTTACGTCAGCGTTTGCACCCACGGTTAGTGGCCTTTTTTTTTTTCTTTTTAACCCTAGGACGATGAACTTATAGTATAGAACTTATATATATACGTGTAACCGCGTATAAAACATTCTGGTTCTACGTTTCTAGAATTATAAGGAGTGTTTTATCCGAATATTTAAGTGTATCATCCAAAATTCGAACGATAGATTGTTATAAAATATTTTTTAAATAAACTTTGTTTTGAGGAGGATATAATCGTTAGAGTTTAAAGTTATATATCTTTTATGAAGCAATGTTTTTTTTTCCAAAAAGACATTAATTGTCAAGCATTTCTTTGTAAATAGATAATTTGTATAATTTTAAAACTCGATTAATCGATTTTGATAAATTTTGTATAATCGAATAAATACATCAATTATCGTACTGTAAAATTAGAAAAAAATGAAATATCAAATTTCATCGTTTCATCAAGAATTCAATGCTCTCTAATCAAAGAAAAAGATTTCGTGTTACAATTGATTTTAATGTTTCTATCAAGGAACGCAGCGTTTAAACCTAAATGTACAAATCTCAAATGTTCCTCCGATTAATAAAATTGTTTCAATCCCCAATCATTGCTTGAAGTAAGTACGCGACAAAAGATAAATTGTGGCACGAACAAAAGATAAATACTTTAATACGAGAATCACTTCATACGTGACTCATTGACCATTAGGAGGAAAGATATACGCGCTTGGCGGGTACAATGGCCGCACCAGAATGAGCTCAGGGGAAAGATACGAACCGCAAAGGAACCAATGGGAGATGATACCGCCGATGCACAGGCAGAGATCGGACGCGAGCGCTGCCGCCTTGCAGGACAAGATTTACATCGTCGGCGGTTTCAGCGGTCGTGAAGTTCTGAATTCCGCGGAGGTATTCGACGTGGAGACCAATCAGTGGACCTACATCCATCCTATGATCAATCCGCGGTCTGGCGTCTCTTTGGTCGCGTTTCGAGACAGCCTTTATGCGTTGGGTGGCTTCAACGGCTTCATCAGGCTTAGCTCTGGTAATCACGATTATTTAATTTATATTTGGAAAAGTTTCCAGATTTTCGATGATGTTGAAATAAACAATTACGTTTGTAAATTTTTCGATGCTTTTAATAACACAGGTCTCGAATATTCAATCTAATTAAAAGTGTCTTATTAAAAAAGTGTCTAATTAAAAAATTAATCTTTCTCGAAATTTTTGAAATTTTATTTTTTAATAAAAATTCTCTTATTAAAAATTTCTGAAAATATTTCGATAATAGTGTAAAAACATTTTGAAATTTGTCCAAATATTGGAGTATTCCATAGAAATTTTGGCGCAGAAATCTGACGCCCCATAGAAATTAATGTTCCCAGCTACAATATCGACTCTATGATCTCGCAGGGGAGCGTTACAATCCGAATCATTCGGAGGATTGGCACGCGGTTCCAGAGATGTTCAGCCCCCGCAGCAATTTCGCCACGGTCATTCTGGACGATATGATATTCGTCGTTGGTGGATTCAATGGTAACGCAAACTGGATATTAATTGGGAATACTATTAATATATATACATAATCAATGAATAGAGATTTGGAATGTTTCTGTAAAATTCGAATCACTGGAATCTTAAAAATTTTAGAAAATCTTGAGAGTTAGCCTTTTAATCATAATGCAATAATTCTTCGAAAGTTTCGATTTTCAGAATTTTCAACAACACTTTAACAAAAAGTGTTAAAGACTTAAGAATCTTGTCTAATTTATGTTATAAATTATGTGATATATGAGAAAAGTTTCATAAATATGAAAATAAAAATTTGTTTAAAATAAATTTAATTTCGTAATAAATAATTAAATTTTATGTTTCATTCAAAAGGCTCGACAACGATTGCATACGCGGAATGTTACGATGCGGACAGCAATGAATGGTACGATGCATCACCGATGAATTTGAATCGTAGTGCCTTGAGTGCATGCGTAATCTCTGGTCTCGCGAATGCACGTGAATATTCTTATCACGGCAAAGCACGAGATCTTGGTCAAGGTTAGTGATCGTTGAGTAAATAATAATAACAAAAATAAAAAAAAAAGAAATTAATATTCCAAAAGTTCCATATTACGATATTGAAATTCGTTTTTTATAAGTTTATTTTTTTAAATCTTAACTCTTATCAAATTTGTTTAACTTTTGACTAAATTAAATAATGTTTATGTTTATGCTTATGTTTAATCATTAAGAGAAGTTTGTAATAACTTGTAAGTGCTTAATGCACTTTTTATTTATCTATTTTATAGTTTTGTAATGTGAAGATACTTTCCATTAAATTAAGTGTTCTTTCTATAAGATTTAATTAAAATATTAAAAAATATATTATTATTAACATAAATATAAATAATTTAGGTCAAGCTTCGTCAGAGAATCAACAGAAAACCATCCAGGGTGGAGAGGGTGCAGTGGAAACGAATGCCAATATTTCCACCGAAGAAGAGGAGACGGTGAACTTCGATGAACACGTTCAAAGGGAGGTGATCCCCATGAACGAGATGGCTGAAAGTGTCGGCAATTATTTAGGATAATCCTACGACACTGTTCAGCGCGCGAGATAGAATTTTCAAAATTTTAAAATATAAAAAAAAAACAAACATTATTTCGGAAGATGATTGTTTCACGAATACGCAAGATTTTTCTATCGCTATTTATTTATTAAAAACACTATGAAAATGGCAGAAAAATTCAATTATAATGTTTAACATGGTGTGTAAAATAAATAATCCGATGTATCTTCTAAATAATAATTTCAGTTGAAAAATATTTCGGATGAAAGTTATATACCTTTCAAGAAGATGTGAGTATTTTCTTATGAATCGATGTATAGAGTATACACGATGATTAAACTATTTTTTTTTTTTTAAATTTAAAAAAATACATCATTGCGCCATCTCCTTGAAATCGTTCAACTTTTATCAGAATATTTTTCATCGATAATTATTATTTAAAGGGAAAAATCAAGATATAGATCGACAAATTGAACTGGATATTAAAACTTTCTGCTTGAAGAAATAATCATATGGCGATGTAAAATTCTCAAATATTCGTGAAACAAAAAAAAGAAAAAAAAAAGAAAAAAAAAAGTTTGAAAGAAATAAATTTATAGGGATAATTAAAGGAAAAAAAAGTTAATAGACAGGACCAGAGGCTTAGGAAATAAAAACATGGTAGGTATACAGAATTTATCAAGTTAACCATTTTTTTTATATTTAGTTTTACGATAAAAATTTGTCGCGTAAAGCCTTTACGCGGGTTTTAACGAAAATTAGGTCTTTCAATTTTTAATCGAAAATCGCAATTTTGTAAGTGATATTATTTTTCTGTTAAGCTATTATTTATCTTTTTTTTTTTTTTTTCATTTTTTTTTTTTGTCTTCTTTTTATGGAGGACTTGCGCCTCGTGAAATTTTTTTCAAGGTTTTCCCATCCACGAGGATCATGGATTTTATCGATTTTCGTATTAGCGAATAACTTATGAATTTTATTGTGGCTTTGACAAATTTTTTTTTTTTTTCCTCTCGTTAAGACGTTTTTTTCCCCTAACCAAGAAGTGCGATTCGAAATAAAGATACACATGCACGGTTGTTTCAATTCTGGCGTCCCAGAATTTTTTTGTTTCCCCCCTTTTTTTTTCCTCTTTCTTTTTGATTAATAATTAGTCGAGTCTAAATTGTTATTTTTTGATGTATACGTTTTTCTTGCCCCTGCACGTGTATCTCATATAGCACGATTATTCTTTTTTGGACGAGATCCTGTGCCTTGGTCTGTTATTTTAATCGAATAAAATTTATACAGATTAAGAACATGCTTATCTTTTGATTTTTGGACAATAATTTTTATCAAGATTAATCATTATATTTTAAATTAAAGATACAATTTGATTTAATTTCTTGAAAAAAATTTATATCGACGATGTGGCAATTACCATGTTAAGTTCATAATTATCAATTGAAATGATTTATGTATCTATATTATTCAAGAACCATATCACTTTTTTTCAGATATTTAATTTTTAGATATTTGTACGTGAATCCTTCGTAAATATTAATTTATTATCCTATCAAAATTTATCATCGATGCAAGTGTTAGAAAAACAGTGAAATAAAAAGAATACATCGAGAAAAAAAAACAGAGAATTTTCATCTGATTTTTTCGAAAATATTTTTCTTAAATCTCTACATCAGTAAAAATTATATCATATAAATTTTAAATTATTTCTCTTCATGTAAATAAAATTGATTCCATTCTTAAAAAAAAAAAAGAAAAAAATCATAACAGCACAATGAAATTAATGAACAATTATGCAAAAAAAGAAATTTAAAACAACATATGAAATCAAAAGGATAAACAATGGAGACAATGATATTAAAGATTCCACTTTTTTTTTTTTTTATTAATCTATCTCATTTATGTATACGTAGATTTATTCACTTTTCATATGCATCCATATATTTATGTATAATGTATACATTGTTGTTACTTGTTGTTCATTGATGGTTGCATTCTCCGCAACTACAAACGATTCTCCATCGATTTAATTCCCCTCATTCTCTCAATCTTCATATTCCTTCATATCTCCCCGCAAACAACGTAACCACCGTTCGATCGACGATCGTTTCATACACCAACGACACTCGAGTTTATCGACTCTCGATTACGATTGCGCTGTTTACGATTGTCGAGCGAATAACAGGGGCGAGATCTATCGAAACGTTGCAACGATCGTGCAATATCCGAGAGAAGAGGAGGAAACGCGATCGAAAACGTTGGAAAATATCGTTCTTTCCATCCATATCGTCGCGTATTTCTTCCTTCTCGCTCGTTCTTCTTCCTTCTTTCCATTCTTTTTCTCCATCCGGCTTAACGAACGCTCGCGTTTCGTCTCTTTGCTTCGAAAGAACAATTCGTTCTCTCGTTCCTGTTCGGCCGAAATCACGTCACAAAAGATTGTACAAAAGGACGACAAATGGCACGTTGGCCATCGAGGAAAATAAGGGCAAACGCCTCTCTTCAGGGGATGAAGAAAAGGCTTCCTAATGTCTCGTGAACACTGGTGTCTCGTTTTTCGATTCTCTTCTGATCACGCTCACGCGAATGTTAACGATATTGTGTTGATTAGAATTAACGAAACTTTTAACTTGATAACTTTTTCTTTTTTTTTTTTTTTTTTTTTGAAGATATAATTAGGCACAAAGTTAGCCATATTTGATATTTGGTACATTTTGTGAAGTGTTATATAATATCGATAGAGAAAAATACGATTTTAAATATATAATTAATATGTAGGATAAGTTTGCAAATTGTTGGTAATCGATTATTATATTTATATTATAATAATTTATAATTATTTATTTGATACAAAAAGATGTCTCAATCTAAATTCGCGTCAGCGTGAATCATTTATAAGTCCATATTCGAGTCTCTTGCACATTTATAATTTTAAGTAGTAATATTATTAGTTACAAATATTAATGAGTTAAAAATTGCAAATTGTATAGATGTTTTAGTAAAATTTTACGTGAAATATCCGTTAAATTGTAATTTGTAAATTTATTTATAGAAATTTTATAAGAAAATCTGTTTGGTTAACAAATTTTTTTACTTTTATGTAATTGATATTATTTCAATTGTGCAAGAGGATCTTTCCAACATCGTATATCAATCTTCACAATGATCAAGCTAAAAATCACCTTAGAGCAATAAAATTTATAAAGGGAACATTTTCTATAAGTAAAATATAATGATTTGTATATAATTTTCTTTGAAATAAAAATAAAAAAAGCTTGCAGTTTTATTAACAGAAAAATGAATAAATTTAATAAAAAAAGAATTCGTCAAAAATCTAAATTGATTAGTTTCAAATTTTTTATTTTTACAATTACATAAAAATATATAGATACTTTTAACAAAATTGATATTAATTTCTATCCAACTAAGAAAGAAGAATTATTTTTATAATATCACTTAAATTCTTCTAACTAATGTGTTACAAACTGCATAATTAATATAAAATCCTTAAATGAAAAATAAGTCAAACAACAATGTTCCCTCTATATATTTCTTTTATTTAACTCCAAGGTTTTAAAAAACATTGATTAACATTACAAGGGATGAGGGAATAAGAGTAAAAAATCGACACCCGGCTACAATCGCGTATTAATCATACAATTAGACGCGACGACATACAATTGAGCAAACAATAGGACAGCAATGAAAGTTTTTTCGATCCAAATCCATTCGAACCCTTTGTTTCTTTTTAATCCCATCGAGTTTCTCTTCCACCCCCTTTTTCGCTCTCTTTCCATCGATCGACAATAGGAGATAAAACAAGATTCACGTTCCACGATTATTTTTTTTCTTCCTCTTATTTTCTCTCTTATTTTTTTTTCTTCCGCGTGAAACGTGAGAATTCGAGTGAGACCATTTATACAGAAAACGACGACGTCGAAGAAAATGCGTCACGAGGACGCTGGAACGAGATCATTCGTGCGATTGATACGATCATTCGAGATATTACAAATAGATTAGAAAAAGGGTATACGTGCGAGTGTGCGACGAACGACGGCTTGATATTTAATTAATGGAGAGTGGAGGAGAAGCGAAGGGAGAGGGATAAGTTTGATGAAGTTCGTTTTTTTTTTCTGAAGATCGATCTTTTAGGTTTGGCTTTCAATAATGAAAGAATGAGAATGGTTTTTTTTAAAATTATAATTATCCTGATTGATTAATTAAAAAGAGATAAAATCAATTTTTAAATGAATTATTTTAATAAAGTAAAAAGGATAATGTAACTTCGTAAAATTAAATACATTATATGAAGATAATATGAAAGTTAAGGTAATTTATTTAGGTAATATAGAAAAGTTTTTAAAGTAGTAATATTAATAATGATTAAAACTGTAACAAGTGAAAAAATTTTTAATATCAGAAAACTGTGGATAAAATTACATTATAATAAAAAAAGATCTAATAGTTTTTCAACATTCTTGGAGTCTTTTTTTTTTTTTTAGAGAGTAAATATATTCAAGAATAAACAGCAATAAATCGACAATAATTTTCACTCTCAATGAAACATCCATTAGTGAAATGAATAACTCTTTAGAATATTTTTTGACAGTTTTAATCTCAAATTAAATTTCGAATTTATTTGGGAGTAAAACTATTGAGAGTTACTTTTGAGAATATTTTTTCACAAATGAAAATTGCATTGAGAATGGTTCTCTGTAGAGTAATTTTCAAATGCATTCGAATGCTTCCATTTGATAACACGAAGAAAAGACCATTCTCAGAATATTTGAACAACATTTTCTCCTCGCTTCCAATCCACTCGATAGTCCAACGATCGTAAATAGCGACAGAGCCTAAAGATATTAGAAAAAAAAAAAAAAAAAACAATTGAAACGATGCGATCTTACAGCTGAACAGGAAAAATCCCAAAGACTGTTTTCTTTTTTTTTTTTTTTGTGCTTGACAATTACGAGTGTGAAATTCAGACGAACGAGAACGAGTACGAGATATTTATTGTGGTCCTGAATGAAACTGTACTCGTTTTTCTTAGAATTAGAGATGAATCGTGTATAACCGATTCGAATATGTGCGTAACGTTTTCATTTTCGTCACGGTGTTAAAAGGCTTACACGACGACGATTTCATAGGTAAACGTTTAGATTGGGCGCAGTGGATTTTACAATTAACGATATTGCGCGAGAATCACCGTACGACATTGCAATTTTCGTTTATTGAAAAATGAAATAAAGATGACGTTTCGTTAAATATATTTTTTAAATATATATATTCCATTTCGATGATTCGTTATTCAAGTTAATGTTCAGACACACGAAATAATTATTTGAAATATTTATTATCTGATAAGTTTAATACAATGTTTGTTAATTACAATTCTTTTTGTAATATTTGAATCCTTTCTTTCTTTCAAAGTAAAAAAACAAAATTAAAATTGTTTTATTGCTATAGAATAAATACTAGAAGCATTATAAGTTAAACAATGAGAGAATTATATTTCTGTAAAATATAATAATTATAAATAAATTAAATAACTAATAAATTTAAAAATTCAAATATTTTAAGAATGGAATATTTAAAAATCGGTATGTAGTGTCTGAATACTAACATATGTTTTTTAACAGAATTATTATATTATCTATTAAATATAATTATTAATTATTATTAACTATAATATATTTCAACTTAAAACAATAATGATTTGCAAATTTTCATTTAATAAAATAATGAATATTTAATAAAGTGATTAATTACATAATTCTTATAAAAATAATTATTTATAAAATAAAATAATAAATGTTTAATTAATAAGAAAACAAAATTCTTAAAATCACAAATCAAATATCATCAATATATATATAATATAACTTTATATAACTTATATAACTTTTTTTTTTAAATCTTATGAAATAATAAATTGCCATAATCGTACAGCGTATCTCGTCGCTTCATGCCCTCTCCTCTTTCCCTCTAGAAAACGTCGAAATTACACACGTACCTCTCTCTCTCCCATACTTTCGATGACATTCACGATTAGCAATTTATCAGACGCGAAATTTAACCACGCGTCTTCGTTGCTTCGATTTACGATTAAATGTATAACATTTGTTTTTTTTTTTATTATATTTTTTTTTATTTCCTTTTTTTTTTTTTTTTAATTAGATTGTTCTGAGCAATTGAGATCTAGTATTGGAGGGATTTCATATACCTGAAAATATTTAGTCACTTGACTCGTCTCTCTTTCTATTCTCCTCCTCGTCTTGCTCCTGTTCGTCGATTTCTCACCATTTTCAATTTTTCACTTTCACCATTCGAACTCAAAACACCATTTAAAAATCTTCAATCTTCTCCATTTTTTATCTCGATTCTTTTGTGTCCTCTTCTTATCACAATCTCGATGATTCCTTGTCATATCTCTTCACTTTTCTTCTTTCTCTTCTTTAAAACGTTACGTTGCCATTTTATTTTATTCTTTTTTTTTTCTTTATTTGTGTGTTTCGTTTCTTTTTTTAAATTAGAATACTCTCTCTCTCTCTCTCTTTCTCTCTCCCTTTCATACATTACGCGTCTCATCCATCCTCCGCACACCGCACGCACTCACACTTATCTGAGAGTAACAATTGACATGCGTTTCGTAACTTTCCTAGCGTCTAGACAATGTATCCCTGCATTGTCTTTTAAATCCTTTTTCTTTTTTTTATTATTTTTTCAAATACAACGTACTTCGTACGATATTTTTCTCTTTTTTTTTTCTTCCACGTAGATTTTTTTCATTTTTTTTTTTTTCTTCTTCTTTTGTTCTGACACCAGGCTACGATAAAGGAAGCCACGGTGAAATCCGTCAAGCGATGCGCAACGTCGCTGCGTTCTCTCGAGTCTTAAAGAGAAACGGGGGAAAAAAAGGCGAGTATAAGTTTTTTCTTCTCTCTTTCTCGTTTCGTTATTGATGTGATCGAACGAGATCCTTCGTTTCTTTTTTTTTTTTCGATGAATGAATTATTAAACGGATTTTTTCTGTAATCGAAATCAATGTCGATGACAACGATGATGGATGGTGACGAGAATCGTTCGATCGATCCTTATCCCTATTTCATTTCTGAACGATGACTGATTCGACTAATTCTTCTTTTATTTTTCTTGCCACGGATTTCGTAATAGGCCGAAAACTCGAATCGGGCGAGATGATGCGTTTGGGATGGTTTGATGTTGTTTGTTTACCTATACATAACAATTATCGATATTTTCTATTGATTATTTTGAAATATCATCGCGTTACTTTCTAATTTTGAAAATATTGTAAATTTATATCGAACAGATAAATGAAAATAAAATTAAAAAAATATCTTAATTATCAATCAATTGAATAGGATACTTGTTACATAAGGAGGTCGATTTTATCTCGATAAAAAAATAAATGATGTAGATATTTATAATATCGTGACAAGATGGAATATATAGATAAAAATAAAACGGAGCATTACATTATTACATTTTATCATCACCGCAAAAGAGGTTTCAATTCCAGTTCTCGCTAGGATATTATATCATCAATTCCCATTCAATTCAAGTTTCAAATCACTGACTTTTCAATTCGTATTCCCGATTCTTACAATCGACAAGAGTAATTTAACACATATATAAATTCCGTTAAAACGAAATATATCCACAATTTCTTGATTTCGTCAAATACAATAAACAACAATTCACAGTCATTGCTAATATAAAATTTAATAAATTTTTCAAGAAAAACACCACAAAGATATATAAATAATTTTTCTTTTAATTACGAGACTATGTAATCAAATGCTAAATACTATCATCAATTTCCACCACAGTTCTAACTATATTCTCAAGAAAACAACACGCTTTCTTCCAAACGCTATTTCCTCTAAAAGCATTCTCGCATCGAACAACGACAAAAGCATGAAACAATCATCAAACCACCCATTACGAAACCAATTCTTGACCGACACATTCCCACTTTTGCTCTCATTCAAGTTGAAAGCCAGTTGCCGGGAAACAACAATGCAAGTAGGCCCGTAGTTCTTCTTGCGCTCAATATATATATATATAGGTCCATTTTCTTTACGTTAGAATCGTTCATTTTTGGCTGGATGAATCGCGAATGAAGGGGACGCACTCGATTTCGTTGGCTCATCTTCGATGGCCGCCAACGCTTCGATGGAATGACACTTAGGAACCTAACGAGAGAAACCGATCGACGACGTTCATATCTAAAACACGTTGTTCCGAACGATGCGGCCGTACTTTTTTTTCTTTTTTTTTTTTTTTTCTTTTTTTTTTTTTTATCGTGTAAAAACGTCGAATTGCCCCGCTCCCGATCGATCTAACGATCAGTGCGGATCGTTGGAAGAAGAGAAACGGAGCGAAGCGTCGCGGAGGAGGATCGATTAAATCGGTTCAAGATTGGAGAAGCGGGGCAATTGTCGAGCAGGACGAGGGTTAATTTAATCCTAATGCGATCGAAGACGACACGGAGAGTTACGAGAATCCGCTCTCGATATTTTATTTTATTTTATTTTATCTATTTATTATTTTCTTTCTCCTTCTTTTTCTTCTTCTTCTTCTTCTTTTTCTTCATCTCTCCCTGCTGCTAATAATTCGCTATTATTAGACTAGGTTTTTTTTTTATTTTCTCTCTTCCTTGACTATCTTCTTCTTTTTTTCTTCTTTGTTTTCATTTTTCTATTTAACGATTCACTCTTTTGCGTTGCTAGGCAGTCCATTCCTTATCTGAAGTACTTCAGACCGGCGACCAGCAGGAACTTCTCGATGAAAAGCTCGGAATCGAGGACGGCGATGTGCGCGGCTCGGCCAATCAGCGCGTTAGCCGTAGCCGGCAACGCATGGTGCACGTCGTATCTGACCAGACTCACCCCCGAGGAGGACATCACTGGATAGAGGATGTTGTGCACCATTTCACGATATGCTGCGCCTGTAAAAAGGGTGAAAATTAATCATTTTTTGTTTGTTTGTTTTTTGTGTGTTTTGTCGAAATATAAAATGTGGATCGATATTGATACTTTTAGCATCTTAAAGAATGATAAAAAAACAGATAAATAATGATATAATTTTGAATGATTATTGTAGAAAAATGACAAGATATTTAGATATTTTTATATTTGTATCGATAAATTAAAAATGTTGGAATAATCATGATGAAAATATGATGAAAATAAGGACGAGGAAAAATATTTTTCAATTTGCTACAGTTATATAAAAATTTTATTATTTAATAAATATCGTTTAACGATGAATTTAATTATTTGAGTATCTTTAAAGGATCAAACCTACATACATACTTTACATTACAAAATTTAAATTGAGATATTATACAATAACAAATAATTTTTGCATAAAAATCTATCGATTTCCTATTAATCAAAATATAAAAATAAATTAGATAAAAAAATTTCTTCAAATTAAATAATAATCTCCAAGGAATTAATCCCATCTCGAAAATAAATTTCATCCTCGCGAATGATATCTACAAAATATGAGAAGAAATATAAGTAGTCGCAATTCGGTTTCTCGACGTAAAGGTCCAATACGTTTCTTCCTTTTCACAGAAGAATTTCTTTGATAAAAAAAGAGAGAGAGAGAGAGAGAAGACGAATAGGAATCTACGTAAGATTTCTCGATGGGAGCTTCTTTTATCCAACGATGTTCACTCGGGATTGACCGTTCAATAAAATCGTATTATCGGGACATAAATGAAAAATAAACGTCGATTACCTTGATCGGTCGAATCCCGCACAGCGGCTTTGCACAGCTCTATACGAGCGGAATGAAGGGGCACGTATCGATCCTGCGCGCTACCGCACAGGAGGACGTGTTTGAACTTTTCGAGATTGCTCTTCTGGCTGAGGCGGAACATGAACGATCGTCTGACATCCGACGCGTCTTTCATGGCCAATTGTAACAACGAGCCGGATTTCTTCAGTTTCTGCATGAACCACATACCTGGACAGGATTTCATTACGAGCGTTTGAAAATATATCTGTGGTTTATGGATTTATTGATGATATACAACTTTCTATTCAAAGTATTCCTCTAAGTAATTTTATCATTTAAATTGTGATCAAGCGAGATCAAAATTATAATTATAATAAAAATTATAAGTTTGAAATGGAACAAGTTTTACAGTTTTAATAATAATATGTTTTTTTATTATCGGTGTTACAATTGATATTCTATAAGAATTTTTAAATTTAATTTTTAAAGATCGATAAAAATTTGTAATACTAATATTAATATTTTGATTTTTTTTCGTAGGTTGAAAAAAGGAAGGAAAGAGAAGAGAAAAGAAAGGAAAAAGAAGAATAAGAGTGTTTCATCTACAATCTATTATACTAAAAGATTCGTAAGTAGGAAAATAATTTTGATAGCAAGTATCATTATATATTATATTCTTAATACACGTACGATCATTTTGATTTTAAAAAATGCTATAAAATTCTTTAAAAAATAAGAAACGATTCAAGATTTTAGATAATGCAGCTTACCTGCATTAACTAATCCACTGGTGTTATACAGTGTACCCAAGTGTGGACCGCTTAGGCTGAGAAAGGTATGTAAACGTGGAAGAAGCGGTCGTAATTGAGGCCGCGTCAGAGCGCTTCTTATGATGATGGTCCCTAAAGAATGTCCGATAAAGCTCACTTTCGTTGGATTCAGGCCCGATGTCTCGATGTGATGGAGAATCTCGGCTACCAATCGATCGGTCATCGTATCAAAATCCGAGAAAGTATCACCCTTTTCAACAAACATAAAAATAATATATAATAATTTATTCTGGTTCGCTTTCTCTTGAAAAAAAACGTCGCTTGTTCTGTGCAATCTTTCTATGCAAAAAAGGCACAAGTCTAATATCCTTTCCAAGTCTTTCTTTCAAAAGAATATAATAAAAAGCTTTCGATTTGCCATCCCCCCCTTTTGCTTCAATTGTTACCTCGACGAAAATCCTTTAAACGCGTGTAAAAGGACGAATAAACCGGAAATGAAAGGGATTCATTTTGAAAATCTTCACCTGATTTCTCTCGGACATTAAAAAATCTAGATGCGCCCCGGGAAGACTGAGTTCCAAGTACGTCTTGACCAAACGAAGATCAGCTGGATTGCCGTCGAGACCATGGACACAGATGATGAGGTGGGCACCTTCCGGCGAGAAGAGCCGATACTCGTTGCTGATGTGGAAGTACGGCATGGTCGAGGCCAGGGTCGGATAATCACTAAGAGGCACATTCGATCTTAGAGGTTTTACCGACGACGGGGTCAGGAAGTCACCGTATCCAAAGGAATGGGCACGTTTATGGAAACGCAACTGCGCTTCCTTTCGTTCTCTAGAGAGGATAGGTAGACAAAGAGAAACTTAACTACGAAAAAACACAAATAGACAGACGAAAGCTATCGTCGAAACTCAAAGAAAGCGGGTCGAGTACAGCCTTGTGGATGTTTGCGAACAAAAGAGGAAGGAAACAGCGAAAATAATAATAATTGCACGATACTACTTGACAATTCTCTCGAAGGGTGAAAACGACAGGTGTTGGGAACGAAGGAGCTATTCAGAGGCCATAGGATTTTGACTGGTTGTAAATCTTTTCATATTTTTCCTAGCAAGTTGCAAGTGACTAATATTTGGGCAACGATGCGCGCTACTAAGTTCTCAGCAAAATTAATTGTAATACTGGTGAAGCATCAGGATATTCTATTCTAGAAAACACAAGTCGTTCTAAACTTTCTGAAATTAGATTTCGCATTGCATTTAATTCCTTCTTCTTATCTTATCGATACACCACGAATAAATTAGCAATTTGAAAAATTCGCAGCCTGCCAACAATCAATGCATACAATCTTCAATATATTTTAAAAAATCTGTTTCCTCAACGATTCCGTCCAATAAGACTTCTCCAATATTAAAAACACACGGAATGAAATATTTTATTTTAAACAAGTTAATTATATACCGCAAACTGCAAACTTTTCAAAATACAAACGCACTCGCACTCAACGAAATAACACTCAACGAAGTCCCACCCAAAACGTCTGAAACCACCGATCAACAACGCACCTGTATATCTTCCCCGAGAAACTCATCTGCCTTTTGAACTCCTCCTTGCACTTCTTGAAATTAATCGCCTCGTCCTGTGTCGATTGCAACATCTCCTTCCCCTCCTGATAACAATCCAGACAAATATCCCTGGCTCCGTACGGAGGATCCCTGCTCTCCCTCTCCCTCTCCCTCTCCCTATTCTTCTGAGGGCTGCAGGGGGCGGTTTTCGTCTGTTTCGGGCTCCTGACCGGTTTCACCGTTTCGTAAACGTGGTAAAGAGGATTGTCGATGATGGCAGGGGGGTCGCGGAATTCCTCGGGGGGCGGTGGCTCGTCCTGGAACATCTTCGGCGGAGGGAGGCGCACCTCCTCGTACGAGTGCTCCTCCACGCTCTCCTTGGTCGGGGGTGGCCTCTCCTTCCTCGGCACGATCCTCGATAATTTCTGGCGAAGCTGCTCGCTCGACAGCTTCGCGTTCCTGCGCTGCTCCGAGCTCGACGTGTCTCCGCTGCTCACCCAACCGGAACACTCGGACGTCAGGTTGCTGGAGCTGGAGCTGGTTGTCGGGCTGCTTGGTCTGCTGGACGGCGGGCTGAGCGGGTTCGGAATGACGGGAAGATTGTTGCTAAGGCTGTCCTTGCTGTCGCGTATAGGCATGCAAGGCAATGAAACAGCGCTCCGTGGCACTACCACCTTGTTCTGCGCCACGGGCACGCTGGCGCATCTCAGTCTTTTCACGCTCGGCGCCGGGGCGCCGGCGCTCGATGTGTCGGAAGGCGTCGTGCCGTTCGTAGCCGGCGTCTCCATGGGAGATTTGATGGGCTCCACCTGTGGAAATGAACAGGATGATCAAGAAAATTACAGCTTAAATTTCGAGAGCAGGTATCTTTTCCTCCTTGATGATTTTTGTGCGAATCTATTTATGATACCTCGATTCGGAAAATTCGTTTCTCTGCCACTTATAGATTGATTTTATAGATTTTATCGAGGTGTTTAAAATGATCGACGTGGAAATCTTTATAAGAATTGATATATAGAAATGGTTTTAGAATTTAATATATCTCTTTAGAGGATGAAAAAATTTGGAATTCGAATTTTTCGAATTGGTAATCGTACCTTCAAAATAATCTTATTATTATTCTCCACCTCCAGAACGTTCGTGGTAGGTACAGGAGGTGGGGGGCGATACTTGGGCAAAGGAGCGACAGCGGGGTCCTGATAAGCCGGAGGCGGTGGTGCCGGTTTCCTATTTCGATGGCTGCACTTCCTGCTCTCCTCAGTCGGATGATCTATGTCCAGCACAGGAGCTGAATGCGGCCTTCGACCGTGCTTATCCTTCCTCTTCTCAGTCACTCGATGCTGCTCCTTCTTCGGCTCCGACATCGCGGTCATCACCTTGTAGAACATCTCATTGGTCAATTCCTGCATTTTATTTTCCTCGTTCTGCTGCCTCCTGTGCTTCTCCTCTCCGACATAACACGGTGTCACGCCGTTTCGAGGCGACTTGACAGCGGCCCTTTCTTCTCTTCTCCTCGGCCTTTCCCTCCGGAAGTCGCAGTACTCGTTACGATCGACGTCGTCCACCAATCTCTCCGTGCTCTTCGGTCTTCTGGGCCTCTCTGCCTCCCCGTGTGTCCGTCCGCTGGTGCCGTTGGTGCGATAGAAGAACGAATCCGTGGTAGTCGACGTGTAATTCGACCTTTTGTACAGAGGATCGACCATCATCGAGTGACTGCTAGGCAATCCATTTCCGCCATTCATCGACTCCTGGATCTCTCGATTTCGTTGATTCAATCCTGAGCCGGTCTTCCCGATCGTGTGGTATCTACGAGACTCCAGTCCGTTCGTTTGACTGTATTTGCCGCCCGTTTGATGAGTCTGTTTGCGTGAATTGCCACGATACGTCACCCTGTCCAGGGTAGCCGTGTGAAGAGGCTGTTGCTCTGGAAAGAAGGTGTCGCCATTGACGCTTGCCTTGTTAGAGAGGAAGTTGGTTTGATCGTTGGTAGTCGTGGATAATGGTTGGCGTGATGCTAGTCGATGGCTGCGTGGCTCTAGGCGAATTCTTCTTGTGTCCAAGGAGTGATAATCTGTAAGAATGAAAGAATGTGGTCATCGTTGGTTTTATTTATTTATCGAGTCTTGAGAATTATATTTCAGTAAAATAAGTAATTTGAAAGAAAAATCATAATGATGTTATACTTTAAAATTAATTTAAAGTTTTCTAAAAGTTCTTTAAAATTTGTTAGAAGAAAAAACGTAGAGAAAAAAGAACTGTTAAGCTGAAGTGTGATAAAAAAATACAAATTTTTTAAATGCACGTAAAAATTAACCAAATAGATGCAAGTGTAAATATAGTAATGTAAGGAATGAGTTCTTTTAAAGATGAACCGTGTGTAGTAATCAAGAGTTCAGAAGGAATTTTTAACGTAAACTCAGAGAAAATATACAAGAGAAGAGAAAGAATGCAAGGAATATGGAGGATTATAGAGAATCTACAACATATTAAAGGAACAGTATTTTTTTTGTTACATAGTATGTCAATATGCACACATAAATATTAATATAAAACATTGCAAACGCAAAGTATTTTCTCGTGCAATATAAATGATTTCTTAGCTGACAATGGAATAATATTGTGTAAGATGATTTAATATTTCATTTAACATGAGCATTATATTATATGGTTATATTATATAAAGAATTTCGAATAATGCATCGATATAAATTATTATGACAATATATTATATAATAAATCTTTGGAAGTCATAAAAATCAATTATTCTATAATACATTCATTTTTGCATTAAACCATTACATCATTACTTGGAAATATTAATTGATACGAGTAAAAAAATTAAAGAAAAAGAAAGAGAAAAGAAGAAATATGAAAAAAAGATGTACAAAAGAGATCGAAATATTGATGAAATTTCTTAAAATTCTCTGAAAAAACGATCATCCTACCTTCAGCAACGTTGGGAGACTTATTCTCGTTCCAGCAGTCTGTCATCTGGCCATGGTCCATCGTTCCCAAACACGTGGGCACGGTGAGCGTTTGTTCGCACGATTTGTTCGACGGTCTGTAACCGGGCAACTGTCCACCAGGTGGCAGTTCGGGAAACATGGCCGCAAGGAGCGACGTGATCGAGGTGTTCTGAGGATCGGCCTGTTGCCCAGGTAGCACCAACATCTGAGTGGATTTGGCACGTGGCAAGGGGACGACCGGTGTCGATCCAAGGGATGGATTTGGCGCGGAGCAGGCTTGCTGGCCTGAAGGAGGGAAAAGCGTGCTACTGGACGGCGCTGTCGACCTTTGCCTTCCTCTCGAAGGAACTGTCGCTGGCGGTGTGACGTTTCGGTTTCCGCCTCTTTGTCTCGGGAACAATTGCGTGGACACCGATCGAGGAAGAGTCTTTGGCGAGGTTCTTGGTTGAACTGGTTGGGCGATATCCGGACCGAGTTGGTCCAAGGATTTGCTATGCCTGGCAGGAAGCGTGGAAGGCGTGAGCATCAGCCGGCCTTGAACAGATCCGATGTCCTGGGCTGCACCTTCGCTCCTTGGCGACCAGATGCCCATGGATCGAGACTCGAGAATCGCTGCGATTCCGCAGCTGCAGTCGTCTATACCGGGAACTGGAAAGATGTTTCGATTCGTGATTAATAATTGAAGACTAACGGTAGGTAAAAGGTAGGTAAAGTTTAGGTATTGTGCAATGTAGGTTTTTAAAGATTTTTTTGATCGCGAATATTTGAATCGTGATTCAAAGAAATGTCAAGTGTTTCTTAAAGATTGGAAATGATATTTTATATTTTATTTATTAACATATAATAATAATAGATAATAATAGATTCAAAATCACACATTTTTAGTGCCATTTTTAGTTACCAGTCATTTCTTACAATTGTCAAAAAGTCGAAGAGAAGACTTTTTCTTTATTTTTATGAATAAATAATATTTGCAAAATAGCAATAGAAAATCTTAAGTTCAATTGATAAAAGATTTATTATTATTAGCATTATGAATAATTTACGAATTCTTTGTACAGAAAGATTGTGGCCATTTCTGGCACAATCAGATATCGAGCTCATCTCTTTTCTCCGCACACACTTACCGCTGTTTCTGTGCCTCTGTTTCATATCCACGTACTGATCCTCGAAGATCAAAGGCAGGGAATGAAGATCTCCGTCCAATTCCGGACAATGCACTGGCAATGGAGGCAAAGAGGCGAGATATCGCGATCTTCGTGCAGCCTCGCTCACTGCCTGATACGACTGATAATTCGCGTCGTAACAACCCCACGCAGATGTCCTGGGATTCTCCAACACGAAGAAACCTTCCGCGAAACGTTTCACCTATTTGAATTTATTGAAAACAATAATTTAAATACTTTTTCTTTGAAGAGATTTAATATCTCTTCAAAATCATCAATGTGACTTAATCGAAAAAAAAAAAAAAATGTTTCAAATATTTTTGGAATATTTTCACACGAAATTATTTTTATCGCGCTTATAAAATCAAAAGAGATCGGAAAATTAAGAAAAATAATATAGAAGAATCGTGTTGTACCCTCAATTGATGATGGATCCTCGCAAGGTGCTGATGAACGGCTTCACGCCCTGAGAACACCTCCAAAAAGTGTTGCCAGAGAACGATATTTTGTGCGCAGAGTTGAGCGATATCGGTTTCCTCCGTGTCCATCATCTGCAACTATATACGCGCAAATTTTTACCAAAGAAAGAATTCGAAAAGGGACGAGAAAAAGATGGTTCCCTATCTTCCGATATCGGAGAACCGACCTTGGTAATTTCTTTGTGCGTGTTCTGAGCGAGCTCGAGCGCCCTTTGCTGGCAAGAAGGTAGCAACCGCGCTAAATCGGCCAAGTCGTTGAGCAAAGATTCCCTTGCGGCCAAAAGTAACCTGATTACTTCCTGTTGAACCAGTTTCGCGTGTTGGATTCTCGTGGCCGAGCCGACGCATCTCGTCGTCGTTTCCTATAACGATTATGAATTTCTCGTTCGATATATTTTTTTCTTTTTTTTCTCCCTCTCACGAGTGTGTGTCACGACGAGTGAAATCGATTGGGATAGGTTGAATGAAGCCAAGCTCGTGTAAACTCACGATATTTCCTAACTGGGCATTGTTGTCTCCGTTCGCTGCAGACTGTTTAAATTGCAGCCACGGCTTCCCTCCACGCGGCGCGCTGCAAGCATATTAGCCAGTTAATTATCTACCCGCGATGTTAATTGAAACACAATCGAACCAATGGCCAGTCGGGCGGAATGGAATTTTTCGATTAAAGCGATTAAAGGATTGGACGTGATTTAGATTTCGTAATTCGGTTTTAACTTTTCGATCCTGGATTTTTTTTTAACAAATTTGATTTTCAATCGAGTTGAAAAAAAAAAGTAATTGTGGAATTAAGTATCATCTTGGTATGGGATCGAATGGAATTGAATGGAATGGGAATATAAAGTTTTTCCACGCATTCTTTTCTTTGTAATTATCATTACACAGAATATAATTCAATTTAGATTATAAATTTGGTAATTTATTAGGATGTAAGTTTATCTTTTATTATTTTAAAAAATAATTAATTTATTATTATCTTTAATAATTTGACACGCGTATTAAAACTTGAGTCATCGCACAGAAATCAAATTGAAACCAATTCCGTCATACATTTCGACGATTTCAAAATTTAAAATTTCTCAAAAAGTTAGATTTCTGAGTGGTATAAAAATGTAAGAATTTAAAAAATCGAGGGAAAAAATGATTTAAAATTTCCCATATAATCGACAATCTCATCGATATTTTCGTTATAAGATATATGCGCATATTACAAACTTACCAGCTCTGCACATAATGAAGTATGCTCTTCCTACGCATAACACAGAAACACGATCAAACGAGCATATAGACAGAGAGAGAAAAAAAAATTTCCATAATTAACAAACGTGTAAACAAGAAGCGGAAGAAGATTTCAACTTGATACCGACTTGATGTAGGGTTGATGAAGGGCCACGAGACAGGCATGGATCGTGATGGAGACTGCGGCAAGATGAAAGTAATCGAAGAGCACCGGCAAATGATAGTGAAGTCCCTTCGTGGGCGCGAAGTTCAGCTGCAACGCCCTACAAAGCGAAAAGCAAACGAAACTTCGTCAAATCTTCAAGATGGAACACGAAAGGCCAAGGTTATCGATCTATTATTAAACTTGTGAGAAAAATCTGAGCGAATATTTTACCTTTTCCTAATGAGAATGATATTTGGAATCATCTTATCTTTGTTACAATTTAATGGTAACGTAATTGTGATAATTGGAAATGAATATGGATTTATTAGAATTCAAAAGGAAAAGAGAAAAATAAAGAGAAGAGCACATTCAGAATCATCAAAGTTTTCCTAGAGCCTTAGATACGAAGATAATATACAGAAATATACAGAATAATTAAACCAAGCCAGGACAGAGGCTATTTTCAAAATAATCGTAATCCTCTGTTGGAACAAAAAGTTATAATATTTTGACATCAATATAAACATTAATATTTCACTTATAATACTCCAAAATAATAATAAAGAAGAATTTTACATCGAAAGAATGGTTTCTGGATGTTAAAAATTATTTTCAAAAGCTAAAAAAAATTCCAAGCCATCGATTATCAAGTGATGACACGTAGATGACACGTATCTCTCCTATCTTTCCCTTTATTTCCCCTCCAATTCTTACGTTACAAACTAAAAAACTCTCTCTCACGGTTCTTCCATAACGCTTGCAGTAATCTCCCTTCCAGAAACCGCAATCTGTTTCCCAAGCCTCACGCTCGGCCGATCGCCGCGTTTCTATGGGGCCAAGACGTTGCCTCACCTAGAGGACACGCAGGCCATGTTCCCAGGCTGCGTTGGCTCGCTGAACCATAGCTCGACGCCGAGATTGAAGTGGGTTCGGGAAAGCACCTCCTCGATCTTGTGACTGTGCACGAGCACGTGAGCACGGAATAGGACCGAGGTGCCGAGTGTCACCTCCTCGTTTCTGTAGAGGATCTGAAAACGCTTGCTCGTCCCTGGCGCCTCCAACGAGTCTGGGAACAATAAAATTTGATATCTTCACAAATATGTTATCATTCAAAAAAAAAAAAAAAAAAAATTATCGTGCGCGATTTATGAATTTTCTCACTTATACAATTGAAATCGTCTTATGATTATCGCGAATTTGAAAGTGGATTTATAAATTGGATGGAGATCTCGTACCACTTTTTAGATCACATATCTCGACGTGCTTCTTTTTTAGAACAATAATAAGCGTCTCGAGGAACGTGAGAATGTTGAAGTCTCGTCCAAAGAATTTTTCATTTCTTTCGAGTAAGATTTTTAATACGAATGCGTGAACATTCGGGCTTTTGGTTTTGGTCTCATTCGTACGTCTCTAGAAACGGTCTGAGTGTATGGTGTACAATGAAGCGCGATACAAACGATCGAGAGAACTTTCTAACGCTATCAAGTGTGGCTCGGTTTGAACTAGTTCGAAATTCTCGTTGTCTAACTCTCGGCGGGGCGAATTCAACCGAGTTTTCTGGAACCGCCGGTGACGCGAAAGTTTCCACCTCCGGGGGCGGATGTGAGAAAGTCCTTTGAATCGGTGGACACGCGTCGCCACCGGGAAAGGGGTGGTAATTTGTGGAAACTCGGTTACCATTGATTGTTTGATTCTTATGAGCGGGAAGGGGAGGTGAAACGATGATTGTTGGTTTTTGGGAAATATGGGCGCGTGGGTGGTGTTAATGGAGCGTAGTTTATTTGAATGAAATGTTCTAAAATTGGAGAGGAAGTTTTTTTTTTTTTTAATCGATCGTGTTTGAACAATCTTCTTGATTAAAAATTGCAAATATTTTTTTGAAATAAAATAACGTTTGAATAATATTGTAATGAAAATTGCGGGTACTTCTTTTTTTATGCATATATAAAACTGAGAATGAAAGAGACGTCATCGAAGAATAATTTCTTGCCTGAATGAATTTTTATTCGTGCGAGTTACGAATGTGTGCTATCTCGAAAAAGAATTCTCTTTATCTCATGAATGTAAAGCAGTGCCATTTATCTTTGAGACTTATTCGTTGCAGAGTTTCTTCCAATAACGAATAACACTTCTATATTCATTCGCGAGGGTATTTTTTTAAGAGTATTTCTTTTTTATTTTTATCATTCGAAACATTATATTTTTTCACTGAAAAAACCAGATCCGTTTTTATTCCAAAATAAAAATAAAAATAAAAATAGCTATTTTCTCTATTACTTTTTTCAAAACCCTCTAATATTTCATGAATAAAAAAAAGAAATACCCTTAAAAATTATTCAGAACGATAAACATTTATCGTTTCCTCCCCCCCAATAAAATTTAAGAAAAAATTACATTAGAGAATCTATCTACGGTAAAATCTCTAAATTATTTCACCTCTCATCCTTATCTCAAACCACGTTATCTCCTTCCTCCCCTTTCGATGGAACAGAAAATTCAAAAGAGGGTGTACTCACGATTCCGCAGCTGGTTAACCTCCACCTTGACAGGCAGTTTCGGCGACACTCTGAGGGCGGTTCGTATCTGGTAATACCTGCGAAATTGGGAAATCGTCGATAATCCTGGGGGAGGGTATAAGCCGTTGCAATTACGCGATCCAGCCGGCTATACGAAAATCACCGTCTCCCCCTCTCTCTCCCTCCCTCGGAGAAAAGGGGAAAGGGAGGAGGAGAAGGAGGAGGAGGATCCGCTTACCCACGCTGGAACAGGTCGACATTGTAGAACTTGCAAAGCTCGAGGGAGAACTCGAGTGTGGCCTGTAGATCGCTCATCTCGATCACGCCGCTCGCGACGCCACCCCTCTCCACCCTTCGTCCTTCCAATCCTCCCCTTTAATCGAACGAAGACCAGCTCCGCACGTCGCGACGATTCACGAGGGATGAACACTGTCGTTCAGGATCTGGCCGAGGTTCCCGGCTCCTTCCTGCCATCCTGTCCCCACCTTTCAACGTCCGAGGCAACCTGTCAAAGAAAGGAAAAGATCGGGATCTTTCCGAGTTCTTTCTTTCCCATCAGTGGATCGATCCCTCGATGCTTCTTACGACACGTTGAATCGCGTCCAAAAGATGCTCGAATCGTTATCACAGTGGATAAAAATGTACGTGGAAATTCTGAGTGGGGGTTAGTTGTTTTTTCATCGCCCCTTTTTGTCGGCAAATACGTGTACATATCGTTGGGATTGTGATACGAAGCTTTCGTTCAATGTATTCTTAATTAAAATTCTTGGAAGATTTTGTGATGATTGGTATAAGTGTTCGAATATTTGAGTATAGATTTATTGATTATTGATAATTCAATGTACTTAGTTTAAGTATATTGGGTATTAATAATCATGTGGAACCAGTAGTCGCAATATTAATAAAACTTTGATTTGTTTTATGAAAATGATTATATGAAAGTTATATGAAAAATTTTAATTGTTATTTGTCGTTAAAATTATCAATAGAAATAACTTAAGACTTTTAAACGGTTACATATTGAACACTATTTAAAAAATTTATATGATCAAATTATGCATATTAATTACAAAAATATTTGAACATTGAGATTTTTATAAAAAAATATATAAAAAATAGGTATAAAGAATAGAAAAATCTAAAGAATAGAAATAAAATATTGAAAATTAATATACATACATAAAAATCTAACCATTTCTCCTTCTTCAGTTTCTCCAAATACTTTACCATTCATGAGAAGAATACAAGTAATATTTGAACATTTGAATGTATAAGGTTTCTTTATTATTCCATCTACTCAGAAATCATCGAGTTTCGTAACTATGCCTCGAAAACACGAGAGAACTTTCGTGTTTCTTCGCGGGGAACGAAAAGAGAGGAGAAAAGGAAAGACAAAAAGAGAGAGAGAGAGAGGAAATTCCACTGTTTGCTCTGGTTCCTCGGCTAGAAATGCCAACAGGAGGAACTTTGGCCCCGAAATTCGCAACGCTTTGCGATCGAGTCTTCCGGAAAAGAGGTTGTCCGGCCTTCGAGTGACTTCTAACTGTTGCGATGGCTAAACGATTCGGGTTAAAGTGGATTTAATTAGAGACGAGTTCGAGAGTCAAGTGGAAATTAACGTCCATTTCGTTCCAAGTTCCCCAAAGTGATTTAACGTTGTTGTTCCTTTCTAACTTTTTGCCATTCCTGCATCCTACATTGTGACTTCGTTACGTAAATTTGAAATCTTTTGAAACTATTGTGAAATATATTTTGAAACTGGCAATGGAAATTTGGAATTTTGGAATGAATTTCGAATGGAGAAAAAGGACAATACGATTGATTTCAATTTCAGTCGAAAGAAAGATAATAAAAATACAGCGAAAAAAAATATATATAGATATAGTAGATACATAGAATATTACATGCAGATAATGGAATACCTTTTTCATTATCTTTGATTATGCAGATATATCGTATAAGGTTAATATCAGATACGTGAAATTATATCCGGACGAATTATACAAAATTTAAGTTGAATAATGAAATAATTCACATCGAATGTTAAATAAATATTGAAAATTCGTAAAATAGATTGAAAATCCATGAATAATATTTTGTTATCCTCTAATGAAGAAGCAATATACATATTACTTGGTTTAATTTAAAATCGAGACATATCTTGTCGAAAAATAATAAAAATTTTTTCATTTCAAGATAGATACATAAATACATAAATGTATCATTTAAAATTGCAATTAATTTCTCGATGTATTTACAATTCGATATAATAGAATAATTCAAACCATCGATTTATTTCGAAGCAACCATTCCAATAAATCCTCATCCACATCCTGTAGTATGTATATACGTAATTATATAATATCCATTAACAAAATTATCGAAACAAATGATGAAATTATTCAAACTATGTGTAAATATTATAAAACTATTATTATAATAATTCATTGTACTTTTTAATTTCATTTCATTCGATGAAAAACTCGTTCGGTTTTCGAAAGGCATAATTTTCTCAATCTAATACATTTTATTTCTTTTTCAGGTACGTAGTAATAGAACGAGAGTATCGAAGCCTGAAATAAACCTGGAAATACCCGAGTGCAAGGCAATTAAATCGTTTCCTCGATTCGCAGTAAGGGATTAACCGGTAATCGCGTTTAAAAGCCAAACAAATGAAACGTGGGTCTTTTCATCGTGCAATAATTAAAGGGTTGTTCATTTTGGCGACACCAAAGAGTCCGGAGTTGCAAAGAGAGCTAAATCCTGCATACAAACGTGCATCTGGTTCGGGGTGCGTCGACGCCGGGAACACTTTGTCCAATTTCTCTTTCACGCTTCAACGTGATGCATATGACAACGTGTCTTAAACGTTTGTGCATTTGTGCGCACGTGTGTAATTTACATTTGAGGAGAAGGAAGGGAGACAAGGGCATGTTATGCAATTTCCGAAACTGCTGTCGAGATGGGTGATCAAAGTTTAAACCCGATACGACGCTCGTTTGACGGGTGGCTAGCTTGGTTGATGGTTTAAGCAGCGATAACCGATCCATATTGATCGAACGTCCATTTTATCTTAAGTGCTTCGATGCCTCGTGGATTGAAGAGAGTTTAGGTACAACTTAAAATGATTTATCGAACGTCGAAGGAAAGGGAGTTTCCCCGCTATCCGATTAAATAACGTAAGAAGCTTCTGGACTAGAGGCTCTAGTGGATGAAGCTTTTCTGAAGATTTCGTTTCTTTCTTTTTTTTTTTTTGTTTTTTATCAACACTTGAAAACTTCGTGGAGATTTATTTCAGTTCATATTTACGTATGCATTATTTTTGTTAGTAATAGACAATAAGATTTCAAAAAAAGGATATGAAAATAATTAAAATATCCTTAATGGAAAAATATTTTGAGGATTTGGATTTATTGGTATTTGATAAAAATATTTTACATATATTCTTTTAAGGTAAGTTCTTTCGAATTAATTATTTTTTCTTTAGTTGTATGAAAAAGAAATTTTCATCATTTGCGTTTTACTGGTCTGAGAATTCATGAATAAATAAATATATGAATTCATGAATAATAAATATAAAGGATGAATATTTATGTGGATTGAATGTAGATTGGAAATGATCTTTTGGTTATTTAAAAATTTTGTAGAAATTAAAGTAAATAGTGTAAGCAATGGAACAAACGTGAATCTAGAAATACATTTATATGCCAACTACAATGATCTATTGATCATTTGGTATGTCAAAAACTTAGATAAGAGCCTTAATGGGTTATCAATCATTCTGGTATTTCATGGTGAAATTGAATCTAATCATGATTTACTTTATGACGTATACTATCTCAAAAGTTTGTAGATTTGTGAAGATCTTCTAACTGATTGTTATCACTTAAATATTCAAATATAAAATAAAAAGAATTAATTAGACAAAATCAATTTATAATTACAAAGAAATTTTCTTTATAATTATAAATCTTCCTCTTTTTAAATTATACATTTCCAATAATTATTTCATCAAATTAGTCAAATTATCATTGAAACTTTCGAATAATTAAAAAAACAAGGAGAAAATTAATCGTCAAAACAACTTTGCAATTTCTACGAAACTCCAAAAGGATCACAATTCAAATCTCTCAAGCGATCAGAATTATCAATGGCCTACAATCAGTGGCAAAAAAAGAAATTTACTCGCGAATTTCTTGAGTCACAAGGATGAAAAAGATATCGAAATGAAAATCGCTCAAGCTGCCCTCGATTGGCTCGTGCACTCCACTGTCAAGGACGCGAAGGCCGCGTGCACGCTTCCTCGAAGCGAAGATCAACGACCTGGCATACGCACTGGGTGAGAGGGTGGAACGGCCGAAAGCGGAAAAAGTGACGGCACGCCGTGACAGACGGCAATGACTGCTCTTCTTGACTACTCGCACGAATTAACCTATCTTTCCTTAATTCCATTTCGTCAATGTCAGCCGAAAGATGAACACGCGCGAATCGATAAATTATTCCGTTCCAAAATCAATTCTCGTCGAGTTGAGGTTTATGGGAAGAACTGTCTCTCTTGGATATTGAAAATATTTTTTATTTAACAAAATGACAGTGTATATATTTAAATTTTTCACCTTTATATTACGATAATATAAAATATATAGAAGAAGAACATTGAAATTATATTGAATCTGTAAAAAGTAAGAATCGGTTTCATCGAAGTGATATTTTTTTAAAAATTGTTTTATACGTGTGTAAACAACACAGAGAACACAGAGTTTATTATTCGTTTTGATGACGAATTATTAATTGAGACACATAAGATCTATAAAGATTTCTGCGAAGAAAAGGGGTAATAAAGAAGAGCCTTTTCGATTCATTTTTGCATATATATAATCATCCATTCGTATCATCCGTTCTTGAATAACCCTATATACATTGTATTTTTCAGTTTTCCGCTCGATGTCATCAAAGTTGTTGATTGTAAGAGTAAGCTGATGGTTTTACAAGGGTGAAATTGATGGTGTTACGTCGTCGAGGGTACGTGAAGTTTGGAAAATTTCAGAAGGGCGTTTTGTTATTGTAGGGTGTAACGCAGAAGAGAGTAATGCTTTTGCCTCTTCCGGTTGAACGTGTGGGGTGAATGTTGATAGATTTATCACGCATAAGGGAATTGCTCTTTGCGTAGAAACGATATATTTTTACCTTGCCTGGGGAGATTATTTTCGTTTTGATGACATTGTACACGAGAAATTGTATTTTTAAGGAGAAGGGGTGTGAAAGATACTAGAGGGAAAGTATTATTGTTGAAGAGTTGTAATTGCAGCTTCGAGGTGATTTTAATAATAATAGAAAAGGTAGGTAATAAATAGAAAAATTATTTTAGAAATAATTAGTATAATTAGTGCAAAAAAAAATACATTTTGCCATATTAAATCCTTCAATGGATTTCAAAATTCATTAAAAATTCACTCTAATTAGTTTTTTCCTACAATTTACATACGTGCAACTTCTTAATTAACA